GATGGTTATAAAAACACGGGGGATATGCGACTTCAAGTTTCATCAGGTGAGACAATAGGCCTACCCCCCCAAAGCACAGACATGTTGTTTTAACAACAACGGGATAGGCTAGTACACCTTAACACAAGTCCCTGTCAAAGTGACCCTCCAATGATTTTATAGTTACATGTAGGTACAGTATGAATCGTAAAAATTATGCATAATTATTATTAATGATATAATGAAATATCTTTCGAAAGATATGAAAATTCTTTTTGGGAAGTGGAAGTCGAACGTTGTTAGGAAAGAGAATGTAATGAAATGGTCATTGTTGGACTTACGAACACCATATACTGAACAATGTGTCAGTGAAGGTATGCGTATTATATATATGTATTTTTTTTATTTCGTAATGATAATATTGATATCACTCAAACTATAAAAGACACATGTCGTACATGATTTTCCCATAAGGTAACTCGATCAACAGATCTTTGCATCTTTATATTTTTTGTTTTGTGCACTACCTGGAAGGTATTTACTACGATAAGGAGCTAACAGTTAATCGGTGCTAACATCAAATTTTGAATAATTTTATGATAGATAATTTGAGGTTTTGTACTGAGATATATCATAGTATTAGAAATATAATTAATTAAAATTGGCTAACGAAATCCAGCAACTAGCGAGATATCGCAAGACTTGCTCCTTTTAGTATAATTATATACAATGTACATACATGTACGTCCCTGGAACTCCATTTTGCTGGGAGGGACACTTTTATAACAACTATACCTTAAATAATTTAAAAAGATTAATAAAGCAAATTAATTTCGAATCAATAAAGGAGAAAAATCTGCATATTAAACCGAAGGCGGACCTTTTATTATAGAGGCAGGCCGGACCTTATATGTTATCGTATTAGGTCCCCCCGGACCTTTAAACGAGGCGGACCAAATATTATGCGACACCGGTCGGCAGGGGATGCTCACTCCTCCATGACACCTGATCCCACCTCTGATGTTTTTGGAGGTCCGTATTTGCTCTGCTCCCGATTTGTTTTGTTTTAATGGACGTTGAGCTTTAATACTGTTCGTTATCTCCATATTTCATTTCATTATTCAGTGGTATAAGAGAGTTGCGTATAAGGGATGGCTACCCCGAAGTGTAACGGACAGACGGACACCCCATCACAATTTAACCCCATCACCCCTGTAAGCGTGGAAATTATATACATAATTATATGTATGAATGTTTTTTTCAATTTATCACTATTTTAACATTTATTATACAAAACAAACAAATAAACAAAAAAAGTAAATAAAATAAAGATAACTTGAGCGGAATTATGAAACTCCTAGAGCTCTTTTGCAATTGGAACAAATCATATCCACAAATTAAATTATATACATAAAAATATTTTTTATTAACTTTTATATGGAAAAACATGCAGGGAAATTAAAAAAAAACAACAACAAATAGTCAGGTGTAATTCAATGTTCGTAAAGCTCAGTTTTTCTTATTTGCTCTAAAGTGACATACGAGATCTTTATCTTTAGGATGAAATATGAAGATAACGAACAGTAATCAAGCTCAAAAGTCTAATAAAATGATACAAATTTGGAGCACATCAAACATGTACCTTTAAAAATATGAGAGGTAGGATCAGGTGCCATGGAGGAGTAAGAATCTCCTGTCGACTGGTCACATCTGCTATGTGCTCCTTTTCATGATCGGGAAACGGACAAAATCCGTAGACAGTGTGAAAATAGTCACCTAGCAATTTGTATGAAAAAAACTGTCAACATTTGACTTAACGATAGATTATATTTGCTTACAAGTTCATTGTATCGATCATAGAATTTGTGAAATGTTGACTTTAAAGGGACTGTTTATATCCTTGCATCATCAATTTATTTTTCAATAGCTTGCCTCAATATAGAAATTGTTCGTACAAAGAACATGCTCTTGCATATCGAATTAATTGTGAGACATACACTCCATATGCAGATAATAATGGTATATTGCTACATAACTAAGAGAAGCGGATGATACAGAAGTTTAAGTCATCACGTTTATCATGAAGTTTTGTTGCTAGGTTGTCATTAATGTCTTTTTTTCCTAGTAAAATATTGAAATATGAGACAAATGTGTCAGACTCTTTGGTATATTTTATTTTGAGTTCAAATTACGGGGCGCGATTAGTACATATGGGAATTACAACTGATTTTTTGGAAAAGTTGATCTCCAAAAACTACAAAGATATTGTCATTGAAAATTCAATTTCTTTTAATATCCACTTCGGAATACTTGTGTGTACAATCAGAATGTTTTTTTTAACAGAATGGTTTTGCAAATGACCAATGGCAAGGAAATTTATGACTTTCATTTTTATTGAAAAAGCAGCTGTTTATGGTGCCAAAAGCCTGGACTTTAATTTTTTCGTCGGGAATGGTTTATAAAGTAATGAAAAGTCATACGTTTTGATGTTATTAAAGAACGAGGGCACTTTAGATTGGCATTCGACAGGAATCTAGGCGCTCTTGAAAAGTTAAAATTTTATTGATCTGTAACATGAAATTTTAGCATTCTTTTGATGTATCGGGTTCCAGTGAAATAGGAAAGGGAAATGTTTTCCTGATAATGAGTTTTGATTTGCTTAATAATAATTGAAAATTGATGAGTCACTTGGTACAAAATCTTACATTTTTAAACATTTTTTTCTCTTTGTCATCTCTCCATGATTTTGAAACGTTATTTGTGTGCATATTAATTCAAAGAAACGAACAAACATTTGTAAAAAGAAAAAAAAATGGAGAGAGGACCTTTAGACCATAAAAAAAAATAACTTTTGAAATCTATAACGTTTTGTAGCGATGATGGCCCAGCTGTATACGTTACCTGTCCAGTGCAATGGAATCGGAAAAACTTTTGGTTTCATCCCTACACGGAGCGTTAATATATTTATATTTTTTTTTATAAACAATTAAAATCAAACAATCAATTCTTTTATCAGTTAAATTTTATGGTATGTTTTATTTTGAAATGGATAAATTCCGGTTCTGTTGCACCGAGTTTCAACCTACTGATACTTTCATATACGAATGTACATGTACTTGTAATTGTATTTTTAACTATGCCCTTATTATCTTATGGGTGTTTATTATTTATGTCAAGCATTGCTATGATATAGTAATTATTAAGATAGGTGGACTTAAATATAACAATTTGACAAGATATTTCAAACTAAATGTAACATTCTTCTATGTGCATAGTACCAGTCATGGTAGCCTTGAAGTAGGGTGCTCGCTTCGTGATCGGGAGGCCCGAGTTCGATTCTCGTTCTTCGCGCTGCGTCTGACCTAAGACGTTAACATAGGTAGTATCTGTTCCTTCGCCAAGCGATGTCAAAGTCACGGGTCTTTCGGATGAGACCTTAAAAACCGAGGTCCCATATCACGGTAGGCGTTGGCACGATAAAGATCCCTCACTGCTCAATGGCCCTGAGTGCCGAGTACAATGTATATGTCTAAATTTGAAGCCCTTCACCTGCAAACGGTGACGTCTCTATATGCGTGAAAAATTCTCGAATGGGACGTTAAACAATATACAATCAATCAATCCTATGTGCGTAACTTTGGAAAGCTTGTCCAGATGTGGTCAGCCGACCAAATCGTTGACATTTAAACTATAAATGTTTCGTACAGATAATTCCTGGAGATCACACGCTAAATACGCTTATCTTCTTTTTTTAAATTTTGTTATTTCAAAATATCAAAAAGTTTCTTCACAGTTTTTAGGTATCCACATCTGATTACTTTGAATACATGTATGTTGTTGTACAGTACTCCTGAAGTTTTTCCTTCACTATTGTATATATTTTGGTGAGGAGTATAGAAGGAGGCTACTGGAACCCGCTTTGTATCATTGTAAGGATTGTTATGTAGTTTGGAATCCAGTACAGGTATAGCAATTCAAATTCATTTTGATTGTTGTGAAATTAAAGATATTTCTTACTTAGAAAGGGAACTATACGTTTGATTACTACTTGCAGAATTGAATCCAAGTTCCTCTAAGTACAATTAAACAATGAGTCTTACAAACAAAGACAATAAATGACATATTAAGTCAGGAACTTTAACATCTGTTACCCTGATTTTCATCTTTGATAAAATACGCTTTTTCTAAAATTTATTTTGACAATTATATGCAAAATATTTATGTATTTATTACTTATCCAGATTTTGATTAAGATTAACATTTCACCTTACTTAATGGAGTCACTGATTTGAGAATGACTGTTTAGTTATATATGAAATTTAATAGTGATAACTTTGAAAACTTTGAATGACTATAGTGATAACTTTGATGTACTTTTTGTTAACCATAGCAAACTATAACTAACCGTAGTTTTGGGTAGAGGTACCATATGAATAAACCATCAAGATCAAGAATCACATGTATCTTGGTGTAGTCTACTTGTGTTTTCTTTTACCTAACTTTTATTGAAATCCAACTAAATTATAGGAGGTCTTGCGTTTTGAAAGAAATTCTGAAATCAGAAGTCTCTGACGAGATAAAATCTACAGTGGTTTATATACTAGTATATAATAACTTGAGAAAAGTTCAGCTTAAGTTTTACATTTTCTGGATTATGTATCCTGATCTTAAACTGTAGCAACTTTTTGAATTCAGGAATTTGCATATTGGTGCAGTCTGACTGTGCACCAAGTTCTAAATTTGGAACAAAATTAACTGTCGAAGGTCGAATATGGTGGAATAAACAACATGGTTTGTCAAAGTAAAACACTGGTACATGTATAAAGAATCATGTATCTTCCTCTTATCTAGATGTCTGCCAAGTTTGACTGAATACAGACCAAACTGAATACAAAACTGAGTAGATTTGTTTTGAAACAATTTTTACAGACAGACACAACGATGACCTAACCATCACATAAGCTCGTCTGGTCTTCAACCAGTAGAGCTAAAATACAGGAGGAAGCAATGCAAAAACAAAATGGTATGATAAACTTTATTGTTACAATAATGGAGACAGAGACAATGCTGTGTGATACAACTCTGATAAGCTTTCAATGACTCATTTATACAATATAGAAAACAAGAACGCTCTCATAGACAGTGTACAGTAATATAGACTGATAACAAACATATCTGTTAGCAAGTTTTGTTTTTGCGGAACACCATGCGTTCAAAGTCTTTTGTCCACGTGACAACAGTTGAAGACTGGGTCAATCGGAGTTCTTTTTCAGATTCACTGTATCTATCTGCAGTGTCAAATATCAGGAACTTCTTGTCTACAAAAGTATGAGAAGGATATTACTTTAATACAAAATGGCATTATTCAAAAGAAGTACTGGAATAATTTTGTTTTATTACACTAAAACGATGCTTATTTCCCTCTAAATCAAAGCTTTGGGTGTATCAGAGATAAAGGCTTAAAGTGCTAATCCCTGTTATCCAACTTGTTCCCTAGTATTATTCATAACACAATGCAAATAAGATCATTCAATGCTTGTATACATTTATCATACAAAGGGCAATTTTCAATCCAAAATCTTATAATAGAAATTCGTATTTTTTGAAAATTATTTTACCCGTAGTGGTATTTCTTACCTTTCTTTTCTAGAATCGAACAAGAGCAGGGCTTGTGTATTTTGTGGTTTACAAATTTTCCAATGTACGCTTTCTTGCTTGGCTTCATATCAGCATACAATTTCATGGAGTATTTCACACCATCCCTCTTTGCTGTCCTGACTTTGAATACTACAATTCAAAATACATTTAAATTAGAATAATTGAAACAAGAGGCCCAAGGGCCTTCATGGTCACCAGAGTATAATACAACACTAAAGGATCCATAGAAGTATATAACAAAATTAACTGATAGATGAAGCTATGTTGCCCAAGAATTACAAAAATCTGGTAAAATGGTAAAAATACCATTGCTTATGTAACGCACACCCGAGTGTTCTCCTTGGGATATTTCCTTGGTTTTCGCAGGTATGATTAAAAATGCAAAATATACAAGTACAATGGACACTTGCCTAGTGTGTAAGGTATTCAATATATACAGATATGTTTCTGTCACTTACCTAGTGCTGCAATTAAGTACACAAAGAGAAATCTCTAATGTCTCTATATATATGTATTCACTCGAGTTGATGCCTCTTGACTACACAAACAACTTAGCTGCTTGCCACTTGGTACCAACACTTGCCTCTTGGCTATCGATTGATACAAAAACTTGGTAATACTTGTTACCAGTATTCGCCACTTGGCTATGTACAATGTGGCTATTTGCCACTTGTCAGTGTCCCCTAGTCACCCTAGGCCTGGCTCTCTGATCACTTGTTCGCTTTGATAAAGTATAAAACAACTTTGTACAATCTCTTGTCAGCTAAACTCTGACCTCCATGAATTTACCTGACAATAACTCATCAGTAAAACAGGACACTACAGTATACTCATTCTACATACAATTGACCCTTTTGCTACATAAATAATCCTATAGTCCTTTCCAGGCTAAAATCTAACTTTGAGCATGCTTTGCTCGTTTAAACCAAACATTCATTTTTATTTTGTTTCTATATATATTACATTCTTTTTGTATTCTCATTCAATCAAATAACCTGTTAAATTATAAATGAGGAATTCTTAATTTAAAAAAAATTAGCATAAAAGAGTAGCTCTCATTTGCTTCACTTATTACAATTGTGTACTCTGTTTGATTCCTAGATACCCAGGAGCAGAAAAAAGGCACAATTGCTTTTTCATATTTATACATTTACATTTAGTCTGTTTGCTTAATACTCAGGGGCAGAGAAGAAGATTTTCAAAGTATTAATGCATTTTTGCTATATTATTCATAGAACCCCACCCAAACACCAGAACCCCTGACCCAGGGGTCATGAACCTCAAATTTTGGAAGAGGCATCCTTGCTCATCATAACTGAGATTTAGTTTGTTTGTTTAATACCAAAGGAGCAGAGGTGAAGATTTTTAAAAGCATTAATTCATTTTCGATATATAATAAATAAGCCGCCCCCGGAACTCCTTACCCTGGGTCCACACAATTTTGGAAATGGCACTCTTCCTCATCATAACTATGTTCTTCGTTCATCAGATTAATACTCAGGAGCAGAGAAGATTTACTGCATTTTCACAATTTATTCACAAGAGCGCCGCCCTAACACCAGAACCTCCGACCCAGAGGCCATGGAATTCACATACGCTTTGTCATTATAATTGTGTCCTTAGTTCATCGGCTTAATAAACATTTTCGGAATCTCAGACACCCGAGAGCAGACTTCGGACTACGGACTTTTCAGTTAAGGGAAAGTGTTAAAACATAATTTAGATTAAATGAATATTTTTTGAAGTCTTGATTATCGATAATTTCATGCCACATACATATCACCTACAACTTTTTTTTCATACCCCACTATCATAGGTGGATCCAGATATATCTGAAAGGAGAGGGTGAAGAGAAAATAACATTTACGAACCAAAGCAAAGAGCTTTGAACTACACCCGATTATATAACTCTAATTTACAAGAGCCAAGTGTGCTTCAAGTTAGGCAAGTATCTAAAATCTTGGGCAGATTTGTGGCTTCCACTGGATCCAGTAATCTTCTTAGATTCTGGGAATTTGAAAGACAGACTTTTTAATACAAACCGTATTTTATTTTAAGTTTGCATCGACGTATTACAATGAAGAATATGTATTTAGATCTTGGCCATGATTATAATGCAATTTGAATTATCGAGGGGATTGCATGAACACTATCAGTCTTATATACATGAATATAATAGTTCATGTTCAACAAAGAAACGCCTAAAGTTAATCAACATTTTATGCGTATATGTATTATCTATCTCAATTATTTCATAATATCTTCAAAAAATAGAGAGGAAATGTTCCATAATTCTTTTCATTTTGAGAAATTAAAATCACTCAATTAAGTCACCCTAGGCCTGGCTCTCTGATCACTTGTTCGCTTTGATAAAGTATAAAACAACTTTGTACAATCTCTTGTCAGCTAAACTCTGACCTCCATGAATTTACCTGACAATAACTCATCAGTAAAACAGGACACTACAGTATACTCATTCTACATACAATTGACCCTTTTGCTACATAAATAATCCTATAGTCCTTTCCAGGCTAAAATCTAACTTTGAGCATGCTTTGCTCGTTTAAACCAAACATTCATTTTTATTTTGTTTCTATATATATTACATTCTTTTTGTATTCTCATTCAATCAAATAACCTGTTAAATTATAAATGAGGAATTCTTAATTTAAAAAAAATTAGCATAAAAGAGTAGCTCTCATTTGCTTCACTTATTACAATTGTGTACTCTGTTTGATTCCTAGATACCCAGGAGCAGAAAAAAGGCACAATTGCTTTTTCATATTTATACATTTACATTTAGTCTGTTTGCTTAATACTCAGGGGCAGAGAAGAAGATTTTCAAAGTATTAATGCATTTTTGCTATATTATTCATAGAACCCCACCCAAACACCAGAACCCCTGACCCAGGGGTCATGAACCTCAAATTTTGGAAGAGGCATCCTTGCTCATCATAACTGAGATTTAGTTTGTTTGTTTAATACCAAAGGAGCAGAGGTGAAGATTTTTAAAAGCATTAATTCATTTTCGATATATAATAAATAAGCCGCCCCCGGAACTCCTTACCCTGGGTCCACACAATTTTGGAAATGGCACTCTTCCTCATCATAACTATGTTCTTCGTTCATCAGATTAATACTCAGGAGCAGAGAAGATTTACTGCATTTTCACAATTTATTCACAAGAGCGCCGCCCTAACACCAGAACCTCCGACCCAGAGGCCATGGAATTCACATACGCTTTGTCATTATAATTGTGTCCTTAGTTCATCGGCTTAATAAACATTTTCGGAATCTCAGACACCCGAGAGCAGACTTCGGACTACGGACTTTTCAGTTAAGGGAAAGTGTTAAAACATAATTTAGATTAAATGAATATTTTTTGAAGTCTTGATTATCGATAATTTCATGCCACATACATATCACCTACAACTTTTTTTTCATACCCCACTATCATAGGTGGATCCAGATATATCTGAAAGGAGAGGGTGAAGAGAAAATAACATTTACGAACCAAAGCAAAGAGCTTTGAACTACACCCGATTATATAACTCTAATTTACAAGAGCCAAGTGTGCTTCAAGTTAGGCAAGTATCTAAAATCTTGGGCAGATTTGTGGCTTCCACTGGATCCAGTAATCTTCTTAGATTCTGGGAATTTGAAAGACAGACTTTTTAATACAAACCGTATTTTATTTTAAGTTTGCATCGACGTATTACAATGAAGAATATGTATTTAGATCTTGGCCATGATTATAATGCAATTTGAATTATCGAGGGGATTGCATGAACACTATCAGTCTTATATACATGAATATAATAGTTCATGTTCAACAAAGAAACGCCTAAAGTTAATCAACATTTTATGCGTATATGTATTATCTATCTCAATTATTTCATAATATCTTCAAAAAAATAGAGAGGAAATGTTCCATAATTCTTTTCATTTTGAGTAATTAAAATCACTCAATTAAATCAACCTAGGAATACACTTTTTTATCTTTCAAATCGAGTATTTTGATTTCAATGCCTGGTTCTTGATGAAGCCAGAGATATAATGCAATATGCTAAAACTATTTTTCAACACTCTTTTTGATATCCGATAAATTTATAACAAATAAAAAGGGTTGACTGGTTTCTATATTTAATTTATTTTGACCGAGATGATGTGATTAAAGTGTTGAAAAAATCACTTATTTTCCTATATTCCATGTACACTTGAGAGAAATCGAATTTTTTGATCGACTGCATAATGTTGGTTTGAACAAGGTCGGATAAATCTTTAAAATTCAATTTACACAAATCTCTCCTTTTCACCACATCTACCTTTTTTGAAAATTTTCACTTATTTTTTTTTAATTTCCACAAAAATAAAGGAGAGTGCAACTGATGTAACCCCCCTCTGGATCTCCAGCTGCATATCATGTATAGATATATTTAAATCAAGATCAATTCATGAATTTGTTTGTTTGTAAGACGCCCCAAAATCGCTTTTATAAAATTTCTACCAATCTCTATAATTATGACATTATTTTATCTTCATTCAATTTTAAAAGATGTAAGAAGATAATGAAAAAGAATTCTCAGTAGAGTATATACTACATGCTAGAGTTTGAAAACGTATTTCTATACGTTCCCCTCAAGTCGTCTATTGTTTGCCGTCCGATGTCCGTAGTACGTTGTCAGGTGTATGAGATTCCGAGAATGTTCATTATTCAGATTTTCAAAGAATTAATGCATTTTCACTATATATTCATTAGAGCGCCGCCCTCACACCAGAAATCCTGACCCAGAGGCCATGAAATTCACAATTTTTGAAGATGCACGCTTCCTTATCATAAATATGTATTTAGTTTGTTTGTTTCATACCCAAGAGCAGAGAAGATTTTTAAAGAAATAATGCATATTCACTATATATTCAATAGAGCTCCACCCTTGCACCAGAAACCCTTATCCGGCATGGGGCTCATCATAACTATGTATGTAGTTTATCTGCTAAATATACAGGGAGAGGAGGAGATTTTTAAAGAATTAATGCATTTTCACTACATGATCATTAGAGCCCCACCCTAACTCCAGAACACCTAAACCTTGGGCCATGAATTTCACAATTTTGGTAGAGGGCTCAATGTTCATAACAATCATAGCAACAGCTTGACTACTTGGTGTTCAGGAGTAAAGGAGAAGATTTTTAATGATAGCACTTATTTTGATGGTTTTGGCCCCACCCCTAAGGCCCTAGAAGGACAGAGACCATGAAATTTTTTGTTCCCCTTTTCTCATAGATGCTTTATGCCAAAATTGGTTGAAATTGGTTTAGCTATTCCATAGAAGAAGCTGAAAATGTTTAAGTGTGAACGCACGACGACGGACGAAAACAGATAGCAATAGGTCACCTGAGTAAACTCTTGTGACCTAAAACTAGAAGTCTGTGAGCCAATGCTCACTAGTAATCCCCCTGCTCTTGTGTGAATATACACTCTGATGTAAATATACACACGTTCAGTTATGGACAGACACACGGATGAACAGGAAGTTGACATCAGATTCGTTCAAAATTGAATCCCACCATATGGCATGCCTTAACAAAGAGTGTGCTAAAATTTCAAGCATCTGCAATAAGTAGTTGCTGAGAAATCTGCAACGAAAATTTGTTATGTATGTTACGGACAGACGTATGGATAAACAGGAAGTTGACATCGGATTCGTACAAAAATGAACCCAACCATAGAGCATGCCTCAACAAAGAGTATGTTTAAATTTCAAGCATCTGCGACGAGTAGTTGCTGTGAAAACTACAACGAAAATTTGTTATGGACAGACAGACAGACAAGACACACACAAAGACAGACAGACACACAAGGGTAAAACAGTTCCCCCCTCTTTTTCGGAGCTGGGGTATAATTAAATTAACAACTGCCTTTAAAAAAAAGTGACATAAATGGTTTAGTGTATGTTGCATTATAACTTCCAATGATGTATTGTAATCAAACTATAATGAAACTCATGGACTGAATGATTTAAAACACTTACTTCTCGCAGATTTGCACACCAGTTCTGTGAAATTTGGAGCTTTAGTATCTAGAGAATCTTCACAAACAGGGCAAGACTTTGAAAATAAATATATATTAATATATTAAATTCCATAAATTGATGACACCATTATCTTTTAACCAAATTACTCACCAAGACTTGAATGGATAGAAATTTGTAAAGAAGGAACCATTATAGTGATAATGAGAGAGGTAACAATTATTACCTGTATGCCTGGGGGACCAGGTATTCTTTCTAAGGGTACTCGGATTTGAAAAGTATTCCTATCAGGATCCATTATCAAACTGTCATATTCCTCTGGTGTAAGGAAGGGTAACTCCTCCTTTGTACCACAAATAGTCTTCATGTCATATTGCACTGTCCTGGAAGAATCTATAAAGAGACACTGAATATCACAGACTATAGCAAAATGTAGCAAATGTTTATTGAATTGTGCTTAGATACTGCCATGTTTACACAAAAATATATATAGTTATATGTATAATCAAAAGGCGATGTAATTTAGATCAAATGTATCCACACCTGTTTCGTAATAATCGTAAACTTTGACATAGGCAGGTTTAGGATCTCTTAGTTCAATTTCTTGCTCTACATCAAACAGAAAGCATCTCCTATGGGCATCAAACTGGAAAATAGATACAAAGGAGTGCGTGTACTGCTTATTTCAACACTTATTTACACTTCTGTCGACATTAAATTTACATTTATATGTATAAAAGGATGAACCGCAGTCCGGACTTAAACCTAAATGATGTTGCTAGATACTTACATAGTCAAAGTAAAAGTGCACAACATTTCCTTTAATTTCATATCTATGTAAACCTATGGTGCTCTTGATTTCACTCGATAAGATCTGAAAAATAGATTTTATTGTAAAAAAAAAATGTTTCATTATGTATATCAAAATAATATTTATTCAGAAAATTTTATCAGTTTTACTGTTTAGTAATTTACAATACTGTATTTAAATAGTTCTGGGCATGGTGATATGCAAGTATGGAGTCTTGAAATATGTAAAGGGTCTAGAGCAGATGTGGTGAAAGAATACAACAATAACGTAATGCAATGAAAAACTTTATCTTGGAATGAAAAATATCTTTGATAGTGGGGTAGACAAAAATTATACTGGAAGTGCTTGTTGAAGGACAAGAAAATAGAGTGTGCAGGGGAGAAATGCATTGTATAACATTTCCTAGTCGAAAAAAATATCAAGATGTCATAAGATATATGTGTTAAAATTGTATTAAGACGTAGTAGAACAAACAATTGAAACTTGGGTGAGGAAATCAAAATATGTGTTTTCTTGTAATGAATATACCGGAATATATTGCTGCGTTTTATATATGAAAATTTGTGCTGTGTTGTACATACTAGTATACCCGGTAATTGGAAAGTTGTGCGGTCATGTGATAATGAAAAATAATGTACATATATGTTGTAAGCTCAGTGTGAATGAAAATTTGTACTGTGTATTAAAAACGTGAGAAAATGTTGTATTATTTTGTGGTAACGAAAAACTATGTGCTGTAAGACATGACGAAAGAAGTAGATGTGTAGCAATGAATAAGTGTGACATAAGCTGTGAATAAATGAAAAGCTATGCCGTGTGGTAATGAGAACTTCTGGTGTGTGCAAATGAAAAGCTATGCCGTGTGGTAATGAAAACTTCTGGTGTGTGCAAATGAAAAGCTATGCCGTGTGGTAATGAAAACTTCTGGTGTGTGCAAATGAAAAGCTATGCCGTGTGGTAATGAAAACTTCTGGTGTGTGTGCAAATGAATAGCTATGTTGTGTGGTAATGAAAAGTTATGGTGGTGGTAATGAAAAAAAAGTTTTATGAAAGATTTAGGCAAGTCAGCCTTTGAAAAAATATGGCCTCTTTTGTTATTGGATCAGCATGTAATAATACAGATAAATTACAATAAACTCGAACCTTATCAAGGGTTTGTCTGACGGGTATCCATCCTGTCTGCATTTTAACTTCCACTATCGCCATTTTCGTCTGTATACTGGCTCCATTGTAGCTATAATCAAATATTGTTATGAGCATATGCATACACGTGATAAATGTTAATCTTATAATAGAATAAATTATATATTCTAAGTATTGCTGTGACTCGAAATGATATCAAGCTTCTTTTTTTCTACACTTTCAAAGTGTTTCCAGACCTTCTATAAATGTTACAGTGTAGAGAATTTAACAGCATAGAGAACACGTCTAGAATTATCATGTGAAATCACTATAAATGTGTTACAAGTACTAATATTTAAGATATACATATAAACAGACAGACAAAATTTATGTGTCTTTCTCGTACTATAAAGAATTTCTTTACAAATTTTGAAAATGTCACGGTAAAAACTGTTGTAAAATAGGAACAATTTGAATCCTATAGCAGGGTTGGGGTCAATTACTTTGAAATGTAATTAATTACTTTCAAATACATTTGATAATTTTGTCAATTACTTGCAATTACAATTACATTGATTTTTTCAAATGTAATTAATTACTCTCAATTACTTTGACAAATGTAATTAAATACATTTCAATTACTTAAGTTTTATTTTTAAAAAATCTTGAGAACAAATACATATGTAAACGGCACTGAGATACACAAAGCATTATGTACTGAAATGTTTTTACTGTTTTGAGTTCATTTTAATCATCATCAGATTTTCAAACACAGCATCACTCAAACGACATGAAAAGAATTCATGTTTGGTTCTGAATAAGGTTTTTACTATAGTGAACTTTTAATCAGTGTTTTTGTTCTTGGGTATTAGAGGAGTTCACACCTGGACAAAATTAGACCTCTACCTATTGCCCAGGGCAGTGTGACATGCTGTATAAACAAATTAAGCATTCTGAGACATTTAATTGTTGCACAGACACAAGCCCATGCCACACAGGTATACTGAACTGTGTATCTTGAAAAGACACCTTTTTAAACTTATAACTTAAAAAAAAGTAATTGAAATGTAATTGAAAAGTAATTGAAATACATGACATTTTTGGAAATGTATTTAAATACATTCAATTACTTGTAATTGAAGACTGCTCAAATACAAATTACTTCCAATTACTTTAGAAAATGTAATAAATTACGCTCAATTACAAATACTAATTACAATTACCCCATCCCTGTCCTATAGGGTCCCCGTATTTAATGTGGGGTCCTTATTTTAGTATAAACCTGCCTTTCACACTATTAAAATTACTTTCATAATGAAACAACACATCTTTTTCTCTAATTTATCCTACAAGTACATAGATGTGTGTCACAATTTACCTGCGTACGCATCACATAAATCTTCAGGTATCAAATTTAGTTTAATTTAAAAATTAAAAAAAAACTTCTACATATACACATATGCTTGAAAAACAAAGGAACTATTTTTAACACTATGTACAATAAAATGTTTTTTTTCTCTTATAACAACTTTATTCTTACCTGACACAGATGATGATACTTCTTTTAGCGCAGCTATTTGCTACATACTTGGATCTGTGTGTGGACACCTTTACAGAAAATCCGGATTGTGCCTTTGCTTTTGGAGTATTGTATTTCACATTCGCCTGAAGAGTAAAACGCATCGCATGTTAACACAAGGAACACAAAATGACTTTTACACATGTCATTAAATGTTTCTATAAAAGAGGTACTCAATATAATGCTGTACTTAGCTCACCTGAACTAATGCACATCCTACTCCTTTTACCGTTACGGTCAGTTCATTGGGTATAGTAGGTATAGGACTAGTTTGTAGAACAAGTTTATTTTCATCTTTAATACTAAAAGCTCTGGACATTTTCTGTCCACTGATGTCAACACTAATATCAATGCCTCCTTGATGCACCAAGCTTCCATACACGGAAAGTGCCTGTAAGGCGATGATGGTGTCCTGAAACACAATAACACTATAATTTGTGTGAAAAGCCGATTTCTTGCTTTTCCCCCAGAATTTAATGCAGAATTTTACAGGTAGATTATTTCTTCATAATTTACATCAAAATAAAAAATCCTCATATGTATCTTCAGAGTAATAAATGACCCTATTAATTTATATTGTATTTTGAATACAATTTTTTGGCTTAAAAATGGACCAGAATAATTTATTTCAAACAAAGAGCAACTTCTTACAAGTATCTACAAATGATAAAGTATTGTGACTGACTTGAGTGGAACTGAATCCTCCCTGAGCGTTTCTTTGTTTGCTGAGCCACATAACTATTGGTTTAGCATTAATGACAGCTTCAGGCTGATTCCCAACAGTATATGCCAGCAATGCATAAGAAGTCATTTCCACTTCTGCCGAGGGTGCGCGGTAGAATGATTCCCAAGGATTCTGATTCTCATTGTTAGGTTTAGAGTCATCACGTGACCAGTATACCATATCCTCTGATAAAAGTTAAACATCACAATTAGTAAATTTCTCTTGTTGTGAAAGACTGAATTTACTGTTACTCTATTCCATTAGATCGAATTCTTCTTAAACATTATCTCAAGCAAATGACACTGGTACCTCCTTGTCTTTTCAGTTTAGACCGCAGCAATGCCATGATTTCTAGTCTCCTAGAAGATCGGACATCATAAAGGGAGTATGCATAGGCCATCAAACTCAACATGTAAGTGTCCGTCACTTCTTGGAGATCGAGACAACGCAAAGCACCAAGTACTGCAGGATCCTATAAATGTTATAAATTCAACTTTTTTACATATGTAAGCTTTCTCACCTCAAATAGAGTTATTTTACTTGACACCATTGGCAATTAATTTATATCTTGCTTCATTCTGCTTGCCAGTGTCTCATTTTTGTGTATATTTAAAGTAATCCAGTCTGTTATGTTTTGGAACTCACAGATTTTGGGAGACCAGCTTCCAGCATGGCAATCAAGACAAAGGCAGTCAGTGTTCCCTCGGAATCATTCCCTTTACCCCAGCCTCCTTTTAAGTAATAGCTGTGTGTGTAGCCAACTTTAGGAAAACATCCCAACTCATCTTGCTTTAACCTGAACCATGCTATACTGGTATTCAGATCTGCTTCGTCTATGTCGATATATTTCTTAGACTGACCAAGGCACTTTACAACAAAGGCTGTCAGCCATGTACTTCCGCTAGTTCCATCCTTTTCACCAAATGCAGAGTATGAGCCGTCAGAATGTCTGTAGTTCAATTGTCTCTGATAACCTAAATATCACATTGATATAATATTTATTTTGATATAATATTTATTTTGATATAATATTTATTTTTCTGTATGAATAACATAAACAGTTTTGTTCATACCTCTACATACATGTATATATCTTGATATATTTTTCACTGGCACATATTTCACATAATTATAAAAATGTATTTAGATATTTGCAAGACATAGATTTTTTTATGCATTCCGCACTAGAACATGTAAAATATTTTCTGATATTATATCAGTGGGTCATGTAATAAAATTCCATAGTTTACATACCCACTCTCATATATCTCAAGGCATCCTCCAAAATCATGCTCACATCTTGGTTTGTATTGTAGAAATATTGTAAAACAAATATATTTGGCGCAAAGGAGGCCATATTCTGTTCTCCACAGCCATACGGCATCATTAGTAAGTCTTTAAGGTTTGTAAGGGCAGGTCCCATCACATCGCCTGAAAATTCAATTACAGTTCCGTTACTTCTCAAAATGCAATTGATTTTTAGCTCACCTGAGCCGAAGGCTCAAGTGAGCTTTTCTGATAAAGATTTGTCCGTTGTCTGACGTTGTCGTCGGCGTCATTGTAAACTTTTCACAATTTCATCTTCTTCTCCAGAACTACTGGGCCAATTTCAACCAAACTTGCCACAAAGTATCCTCGGGTGAAGGGGATTCAAGTTTGTTCAAATGAAGGGCCATGCTTCTTTCAAGGGGAGATAATGAAGAATTAGTGAAAAATTTATAGCATCTTTTGAAAATCTTCTTCTCAAGAACCACAGGGCCAGGAAAGATGAAACTCATGTGGAAGCATCCTCAGGTAGTGTAGATTCAAGTTTGTTCAAATCATGACCCCTGGGGGTAGGGCGGGGTCACAATGGAGGATCAAAGTTTTACATAGAAATATATAGGAAAAATCTTAAAAAATCTTCTTCTCAAGGAGAGCAAAGCCATGATGAGTCATATTTATATGGAAGTATCTTCAGATAGTGTAAATTCAAGTTTGCTCAAATCATGACCCCCTGAGTAGGGCGGGGCCACAATGGAGGACAAAAGTTTACATAGAAATATATAGGAACAAGAGGCCCATGGGCCACATCGCTCACCTGAGCACATTGGCTAGGCAAAAGCACAAATGAGTTCAGTATTGAAAAGATTACCACCGCGGGGGGGGGGGGGGGGGGGGCTTGAATTTTAAACTACCTGATAATGCTTCCATGTCAATATAACAAATGGCTTTCTTGTACTTGAGATGTTCCAAAAAAATTTCCCATATATTCCTTTGTAAAAATTTTATCCCCCATTGTGGCTCCTCCCTATCCCAGGGGTCATCATTTGAACAAATTTGAATCTACACTACCTGAGGATGCTTCCAAGATATTATCCTATATATTTCTATTTAAGACTTTGATCCTCCATTGTGGCCCCACCCTACCCCCGGGGGTCATGACTTGAACATAATAAAATCTACACTACCTGAGGATGCTTCCATATAAATATGATCAATCAGGGCTTTGCTGTTCCTGAGAAGATTTTTAAAATTTTTCCTAAATATTTCTATGTAAAACTTTGATAGTCAATCATGGCCCCGCCCTACCCCCGGGGGTCATGATTTGAACAAACTTGAATCTACACTACCTGAGGATGCTTCCAAAAAAATATGACTCATCATGGCTTTGCTGTTCTTGAGAAGAAGATTTTTGAAGGTTTTTCCTATATATTTCTATATAAAACTTTGATCCTCCATTGTGGCCCCGCCCTACCCCCGGGGGTCATCATTTGAACAAACTTGAATTTACACTACCTGAGGATGCTTCCATATAAATATGACTCAACATGTCTTTGCTGTTCTTGAGAAGAAGATTTTTAAAGGTTTTTCCTATATATTTCTATGTAAAACTTTGATCCTCCATTGTGGCCCCGCCCTACCCCCGGGGGTCATGATTTGAACAAACTTGAATCTACACTACCTGAGGATGCTTCCATATAAATATGACTCAACATGTCTTTGCTGTTCTTGAGAAGAAGATTTTTAAAGATATTTTCCTATATATTTCTATGTAAAACTTTGATCCTCCATTGTGGCCCCACCCTACCCCCGGGGGTCATGATTTGAACAAACTTGAATTTACACTACCTGAGGATGCTTCTATATTAATATGACTCACCATGGCTTTGCTGTTCTTGAGAAGAAGATTTTTAAAGATATTTTCCTATATATTTCTATGTAAAACTTTGATCCTCCATTGTGGCCCCACCCTACCCCCGGGGGTCATGATTTGAACAAACTTGAACTTACACTACCTGAGGATGCTTCTATATTAATATGACTCACCATGGCTTTGCTGTTCTTGAGAAGAAGATTTTTAAAGGTTTTTCCTATATATTTCTATGTAAAAATTTGATCCTCCATTGTGGCCCCGCCCTACCCCCGGGGGTCATCTTTTGAACAAAATTGAATCTACACTACCTGAGGATGCTTCCATATAAATATGACTCACCATGTCTTTGCTGTTCTTGAGAAGAAGATTTTTAAAGGTTTTTCCTATATATTTCTATGTAAAACTTTGATCCTCCATTGTGGCCCCGCCCTACCCCCGGGGGTCATCTTTTGAACAAAATTGAATCTACACTACCTGAGGATGCTTCCATATAAATATGACTCACCATGTCTTTGCTGTTCTTGAGAAGAAGATTTTTAAAGGTTTTTCCTATATATTTCTATGTAAAACTTTGATCCTCCATTGTGGCCCCGCCCTACCCCCGGGGGTCATCATTTGAACAAACTTGAATTTACACTAGCTGAGGATGCTTCCACATGAGTTTCATCTTTCCTGGCCCTGTGGTTCTTGAGAAGAAGATTTTTAAAAGATGCTATTAATTTTTCACTAATTCTTTATTATCTCCCCTTGAAAAAGGGCGTGGCCCTTCATTTTAACAAACTTGAATCCCCTTCACCCAAGGATACTTTGTGGCAAGTTTGGTTGAAATTGGCCCAGTGGTTCTTGAGAAGAAGTCGAAAATGTTAAAAGTTTACAGACACAGACAGACAGACAGACGGACAGACAGACAGACGGACGCCGGACAAAAAGTGATCAGAAAAGCTCACTTGAGCCTTCGGCTCAGGTGAGCTAAAAACCTTTAAAAATCTTCTTCTCAGGAACAGCAAAGCCATGATGAGTCATATTTATATGGAAGCATCCTCAGGTAGTGTAGATTCAGGTTTGTTCAAATGATGACCTCTGGGATAGGGAGGAGCCACAATGGGGGATCAGATTTTTACAAAGGAATATATGGGAAATTTTTTAAAAAATCTTCTCAATTACAACAAAGCCATTTGTTATATTGACATGGAAGCATCATCAGGTAGTTTAAAATTCAAGCCCCCCCCCCCCCCCCCGTAATCTTTTCAATACTGAAGTGATTTGTGCTTTTGCCAAGCCAATGTGCTCAGGTGAGCGATGTGGCCCATGGGCCTCTTGTTATAAACATATCTGAATATTTATTGATCATGAATATGTTTGCATTTTAATATACACATATACTTACCAATAACATTGACTACCCCTCTCTCCGAATCTTGAATTCTGTTCGTTGGAACTTGTAACTTGATTTTCTCTGTCAATGTTAAACTTGGTTCACCTGATAAAAAGCAAGTTAAAAGATTTTGATTAAAATTTTGAATTACTGTAAAACAGTTATTTTTCACTGCTAGAAATACAGACAATTTTCTGCTACTTTCCTTTCTCAAAAACCATTTATTTGTGTATTTTTGTAGAATATTTCCTCTCTCGCATAAATTAATAGTCACAGATGGATTTTTAAGAAATGCTTTGCGACAAGTTCTCCGTTTCAAATTCTCTGATTTCATTGTCTTCATTAGTTTAATGTTTTGGGTATTGCAACGAGTACTTATAATTGTAAATCTGTGGAATAAATCTTCTCTGTCTGTTCATTTAAGAGCTATGGTATCACAACATCTTTCTAAATTATCAATGATAAACATATGATGTACCTGTGGGACACGTCATCTTTCTAAACTATCAATTGTTAACATATGATGTACCTGTGGGACACGTCATCTTTCTAAACTATCAATTGTTAACATATGATGTGCCTGTTGGACATGTCATCTTTCTAAACTATCAATTGTTAACATATGACGTGCCTGTGGGACCATCATCTTTCTAAACTATCAATTGTTAACATACGATGTGCCTGTGGGACACGTCATCTTTCTTAACTATCAATTGTTAACAAATGACGTACCTGTGGGACACGTCATCTTTCTAAACTATCAATTGTTAACAAATGACGTACCTGTGAGACACGTCATCTTTCTAAACTATCAATTGTTAACAAATGACGTACTTGTGGGACACGTCATCTTTCTAAACAATCAACTGTGAACAAAAGACGTACCTGTGGGACACAAATATGAAGAATAAGTGTATTCCTGTTCTATTCCTTCTGCGTCGACAAGGAGTTCCCGTCGGACTGCATCGAACACTCCCGAACCCTCCCTACTGACAACACTATTACCACAGGTCCCATCATCGGCAATAGACTCAGCCTGAAACATCATATTTATTTACAACAAACTTCATTGGTCCTCTATTCATTTAAACAATAAAGAAAAATATTATTTCAGGCACTCGGTTCCATTTCCTGATCAAGAAAAGCTTTGAGAAAAGTAACAATTAAGATGCTTTATTTGTTGTTTACAGTAATCACGATAGATACATGTATACATTGGTGTCAAATATGCTGCCTATGTGAAGTTCGTTAAAGATCGCAGCGAATGTGAGCAGCAAAGCTCTTATTAATTCATTTTTTAAATATTTGAAATTACGGGAAATGCGGAGAAGATAGTGCACCTGTGTTTGGATGCTGATTTTGCCAATCTTGAGAGGAGTGATGAGGTAACGTAAAGTCTCTGACTCTCCACCACAAACACACAATATCCGTGTCCGCATATAGGCAGCACTCTGGACTCTGAACTCTTTGGAGGCCACTAACGTCACCCTCATCTGCAGAAAAAAATAGTTCATAATACATTGTATTTTTTTTTTAAAAGAATTCCCATTTACACCTAAAAAACTTATTCATATTATGTTACATAATCCAAAATATGCAAACAATAAAGCTTTGCAAAAAAGAACACATACTTCAGTGAATCCATTTTGCTTACTACTTGAAACAGGGAATAATGTTGATATGATACATTAAATTTATGTGACAAACAAATCTGATACAACACAAAACTGCAGTTAAAAATTGACCAAAAAAGTTTAATATTCGTTCAATTTAAGTTTAATGTTAATATTAGTTCTTATTTGCATCTTTTGTGTACATTTTATACAAGTCATTATACACTTGCAACGATTTTACCCAGTTTTAAATTCGCCAAGACACAGTTGTGTTAAAGGAAATATATTTCCATCCACTGAATATTCCGCGTTTATTTCTTTCGAAAAACAACCGTCGTTTATTGATGCTTTGAACGCTCCTAAGCAAGCTACGTTGGTGTATAGAATTCTTGAGAATTTTATTTTTTGGTGTACATATCAATAATACAAAACTTACGTACTTGATCTTACGTTATATGATTATTATCTTTGTTTGATAGTATGGGAATTAACGTTGCAGCTATTGTAGTTTTTCTGCAATATTAATTCCCATACTAACAAGCAAAGTTTAAATAATTGTCTCATTACATTTCACTGTTCTGAGTTCGTCAACTGACGACAAGGTGAAAAATACAACGAGGGCTAAAATTTTTATGCAAACATTATTTTTTTCATTGATAATCAGGAGGCATTCTCGTTCGCCGCGCCGCGTCAAACATAACACGTAAACACATAGGTAGCGACTGTTCCTTCGCCAAGCCCCCGGCACTACAAGTCAAAGTCACGGATAATTCTGATGAGACCTTAAAAACCGATGCCCCGTGTCACGTTAAGGCGTTGTCACAATAAAGAACCCTCACTGCTCAATGGCCCTGAGTGCCGATTATAGGTCTAAATTTGAAGTCCTTCCCTGGTATATGGTGACGTATCTTTATGAGTGAAAAATTCTCTAAATGGGCGTAAAACAATATGCAATCAATCATAGATAATTATTTTATATTTGATCAAATGTTTATATTAAATGTATGAACATTTCTGTCTTCAGATACAAGATATTTCGTTAAATGCATCGCTTACCACAAGACATTCTATTAGAGAGATGACTTACCACAAGACATTCTATTAGAGAGATGACTTACCACTAGACATTCTATTAGAGAGATGACTTACCACAAGACATTCTATTAGAGAGATGACTTACCACTAGACATTCTGTTAGAGAGATGACTTACCACTAGACATTCTATTGGATAGATGACTTACCACTAGACATTCTATTGGATAGATGACTTACCACTAGACATTCCATTAGAGAGATGACTTACCACTAGACATTCTGTTAAATAGTTGAATATAGTCACAAGAACAGGGACCACCTCATTCCGGACTGCTGAATATGGAAGTGTGAAAGATAAAAAGAACGGCTGGAATGCTGTTATACTGGAAACTGAAGAGATTCCAAGCCCAGAAACAGTGTTTAAACATATGGCGTTTCCTTTCCATTCTGTAATGGTGTCTGGAATCGTCCGTACCAGAGTATTTTCTCCTGAATCTCTTTATTGAAATAGAAAGTATCTTGATGAAGTGTCATTGATGAGTGCTAAAACATTTTAAACTTTCCAGTTGTAAAACTATTTGTAACATTTGAACAGATTTTCAAAATTATTAAGTTGTTCAGCATAACATTAGAAAATAACATTTATCAATTTTGAAAGTGCAGAAAACATTAGAAATGACTTTTTATCCTCCAAAAATATGCATGCTGCAAACATTTTGAGGAATTCTACCGGTAATACTTTTTAAGAGAATGGACTTATTTGAATGAAACATGAGGTTTATCTTTATGGAGTATCATGTTTACCGTATGATGGAACAAAACAATTAAATTTTCACCAACCCGATGAGGTCTATCTCCCATAGCCACGTCTCGGGGAAGAAACTTCGGACTTTTTCATTAGCAGTATTGCCTGCAGATGGCATTTCAGAATCGATAACAGCCTCCACTGAAAAAATGTCTTTGAAATTAAAATAGTACTACATTACTGAAAAATTCTGAAATTACTTGTTATTTCTGGAAGATGAATATTTTCAGATATTTTTTATGTGTCTTTCTGTAAGCCATGGTATTGTTTAAAAGCAGCTGTTCATGAATTAATGGTACATTAACAGTTTATTCGGATATGAATGTCTACATTACGAGAATTACTTGTAGAAGCAAAAACCAGGTTTAAGGCTTATATCCGCGATATCAGAAAAGTTTATTAGTAATGCTGAATAAAATACATACAAAGGCATTGGTAGGCATGTAGATGTATATAAAATTCTATTACTATAAAATTTATATTTTCAATTTTGAATATTACTTCTGTTGCATACTTTACACATTACAATAAAAGATACATGTATGCAATCAATGTTCCATATTATTGTGTAAATAATACATTTTTAAAGTATGCATCTAATTAATATTGTATATCATTATAGTATAATGAAGTTTCTTATATGTACCTCTATTATACATAACTTCGGGATAAATGTAATCAATACAAGGTCTGGTCTCCAATCTCAAATTTGTGAAAACTCGTAATCCAAAAGTCTATAAGAAGAAGAGAAAATTAAAAGTATTATAAAACAATTATTACACCATGCAAATATATATTTTTAATCTACTTGCTTTTGTTTGCGTTTGAAATGGAATACAAGATCAGAATTATTGCTCTCTATATTACCATAACACACACCCTTTTTACATATCACTACCATTCCTTATCCTCTTACCTGTATGGGACCAGTCACAGACACTTTGGTCACTTAATTGCAGTGTCCCATAGTAATACATGTAGTATACAAGATTCATTACCTTATGTTTAATTGCAAAAGTTCAAAGAGAACAAACGTCTATTAACTGGAATACATTCTATGTAATATATGAATTTCTAAGGTTTCCATAAGTTTTAGGGTGTTAGGGTAAAAAATTTCATTGCAAAAGAGGAGAGAACTAAAAGTATATGGAAACCACTTCATGCAATATGTTTCTGACATTGGCCTTTGTTTAAAAGAAAATGTGTTGCAAACTAACAGAATGACAAATAAACAGATCCAGATTAATATCCTCTGCTTCTAGCAAAAGTAGGAAAACCTTAATTGTTACCTGAAATGTTCTGTAAGAGTCTACAGGAATATCTGATGGGTTTCTTAACAATTCAGGAAAAGAGTCTGTAATATATTAGAATACTTTCATTACTCAATGAAAAATTGTGTTGCAAGAGAAAAAATACAGAGAATAAAATTATTGTAGCAACAGTAACATTCAAAATAGGAAACTACAGAGCTACACTACATCAATACTGTAGATTCTTTATTATACGAATTGTGTACTAATATAGCGAAATGGCTCATAGACATAAAAATCGCGAGAACAATAATTTGCGAGTGGACGGTTGCTCAAGGGATTTTACATGGATTTCAGCATCATAGAAATAAAAGCGAATAATCTTCTCGTGAAATTACGCAATAATTAATTCCTCGCGTATATTTAGAAATCTACAGTATGCTTGTAATTAAGTTTTACACGAGTGACTGAAGTGGACCGTTTACAGACATCTCTACAATTTTTAAGAATTATCTATACATGTACTTTACAGGCTGTCATAGAAACAAAAAGCTAACTATCATAATATCAGTATCAAAATTGAATAAATGTAGCTGGCTGAAATTCCACTTGTGACGCCAATCTTTTATTTGAGAGCTACATTATTTTTTGGAATTGACAGTTGCAAATCACCTGGAGAACAAGTTTTTATATTTTGTTCAAGTTCTCCCTCATACCTCTTGGTGCTTGTTAAAGCATAGAAAATGTGATAAAGTTACATTTTACTAAGAAAACGAATGGCAATGCTAGGTATCGGGCCCAGTATCCTCACCATATAAGTCAGGTACTCTCCATATAAAGCCATCGAGACCAATTTCGATATTGCTGCATTTTGGCAACTTCCTAGCACTCACTTTTTAAATGTATTAATTAAATAATTTATTTAAAACATGTCTGCATCATACAGAGACAAAAATAATTATGCGCATTTAAAGCAGTGGATTTTAAGTAGGTCACTATCCTCGTATCTATACATTCTTTAAAAGCAATAGACCTCCGGATTTCGGAGCCGTCGTTCCAATATTTTTAAATAATGAATGGAGGGGTACTCGAAAATCAACCTAAACATAGCAGCATTAAAAATATAATAATAATTTCTTGGAAATCAATAGACCTTTATTACATTAACGTAAGCAACGTGGACCAAATATCAGATTTAATCTGGAACTAGTCACCTTCAATTACATACTGCAAAAAGCTCATATTTTCTGCTACTTATTCCGGGAGACATAATCCTTCATTAAAAAAATAACATAGTCCTTCCTGTAACTATTCATGAGTATTTCATTTGCGTGTAAAGACTTGTTCACCGGATTATAATAAATTCTCGAAAATAAAATATGATATCGGTAAGTTAAAATCAATACCCGATACCTAGAAAAGAAATTCATAAAGATGTTGAAACTATATATACAGAAATAGGATATTTTCAACATAAATCAAAGAAAGTGCCTGATGAAACTCACTTATATTTGTATTTTTCCTGTTTCTGTTGCAGTCCCTTGCCCTTGGATAATAATGGAAATGGCTCGATTCTGTGGTCAGTAAACTGTAAAACTAATTAAAATTGATTGTGACGTAAACCTTTTGTTTGTGTTTTCCATTCTATAGCTTAATGTTGAGCTAACTCCCCTTACAATTCATTCATTCACCTGTAATTGTCCATTCTTTTTGGAAAACTGTCCATTCTGTTTAAGAATGGACAGTTTTTTCAAAAAGAATGGACAGTTAAAACAAACAAAATGGAGAGTTACAGGTAAACTTTGGAATGTGCCCAAGAGGAAACAAAAACAAATACATTAAAATATATTTAATGATTAAATACGATTTAATTTACATGTACATGTAAATAACAAAAAGAACATAGAGATCAAACTTAATCCAGAACACAATGTCTGCACAGCATCCGCTCGATTTTATACTTTTAAATCCATGAATAATGCCCAATATTTCAAAACTCAACACTAAATTTTCACAAAACTTGAATTTAAATGACACAATTTCACATTTGATTTAAATTTCGAAAATATCATTCCCTTGAGAAGAATCCATTTTAAGAATGAAGTACGGCTAATACTAAATCCACCACCCAGAAAACAGTTTGCACCATGAGCACTACACTGCCTCCATAGAAAATAATTAAAATTGAAACATTTCCAGATTTGATTTGAAATACATTTTCAAGTCGAAGTTTGGCTCGTGGCTAATCCAAAACTATGATCACAATTTACATCTCACCATTGCACTGCTGCAGTCGATATACCGGTATCCTCAAAAACTGAATTCAAATAAAACATTTCCAGATTTGATTCGAATTTGATTATCTGTCGAAGAAGAAAATCATTTTTGGGTCAAAGTTTGGCTAATATTTTCTTTTACTATTATCTGTTCCCAGGTCCAACTATCACTGATTTTGTGCACCTTTAAGTTCATTAGTATTTGATTCTGTCATATACTCTCTCGTCGGAGGAAAACATGCATGCCTTTACAACGCAAACTATAAACTGATTTTGAAGCATCGCATCCTTGTATAAACACTAGTATCCCCAAAATCTACCTGTAACTGTCCATTCTTTTGACAAAGACCTTTTGTTATTTGCATTTGAACACAAAGGACTATTCAACAAATTGCTCTGCATCCCTAGCTTACCTGTGACTGTCCATTCTGTAAACAATGAACTTGTCATTGTATGTGTGCTACCTGTCATATCTGATACCAGTATTGTACATTTTTTTAAATTTAAATCGCAGAACAAAGGAAATCATGTTTTAAGTAAAAGAAAGGCCTCTAACTGTCCATTCTGTGAAAGAAAGAACTAATCTCGGGCCTACGGCCCTCGATTAGTTCTTTCTCTCACAGAATGGACAGTTTTTGGCCTTTCTCTTTTACATAGATACCACAAAAGATATACCACTGTAAATTTAAAAAGATATCACTAAAATCTAATGAGATACCACAGTAAAAAAACCCAATAAATTTAACGAGACTCAACGGTACAACTAGGAGATACCACTGTAAGGCTAGAAAGAGATACTAGTGTAAAGTAGCACAGTGAAACTTAAAAGATACCACTAAAACTTACAAGACAGAACGGTACTATTAATAGATACCAATGTAAAATTTAAGGAAAACCACTGTAAATCAAAAGAGATACCACTGTAAAACTATAAAAGATATATAGAAAACATGGGAAATTAAGAAATACCACTGTAAAGTTAGAAAGATATCACTGTAAAAATAAGTAGATTCTATTGTTTATTTAAAGAGATATCACTGTAAACCTAGAAAGACACCACTGTATAACTAAAGAAATATCACTGTAAACCTAGAAAGACACCACTGTATAACTAAAGAGATATCACTGTAAATCTAGAAAACACCACTGTATAACTAAAGAGATATCACTGTAAATCTAGAAAGACATCACTGTATAACTAAAGAGATATCACTGTAAACCTAGAAAGACACCACTGTATAACTAAAGAGATATCACTATAAAACTAGAAAGACACCACTGTATAACTAAAGAGATATCACTGTAAATCTAGAAAGACACCACTGTATAACTAAAAAGATATCACTGTAAAACTAAAGAGATATCACTGTATAACTAAAGAGATATCACTGTAAACCTAGAAAGACACCACTGTATAACTAAAAAGATATCACTGTAAAACTAAAGAGATATCACTGTAAACCTAGAAAGACACCACTGTATAACTAAAGAGATATCACTGTAAATCTAGAAAGACATCACTGTATAACTCAAAAGATATCACTGTAAAACTAAAGAGATATCACTGTAAACCTAGAAAGACACCACTGTATAACTAAAAAGATATCACTGTAAAACTAGAAAGACACCACTGTATAACTAAAGAGATATCACTGTAAATCTAGAAAGACACCACTAGATAGATTCTAATTAAAAAGTTACAGCCATTTGCACTTCAATGCTACAAATTTATTAGCTTAATTTAACATTTCCCTCAATAATTCCAAAACTAAGCTAGATATCAAAAATCTGAGATACATTTTTGTGAACACACATTTGAGAAGCAACCCATCCAATTTTCAGAGAAATTGGTCAATAAAAAAGGGAAAACCCATTACACAACAAAATCTGCCAAAGCTAGGAATATATGACACCTTGGAGATTCAGCTTTGGATACCTGTCACTTAGCCATATTTCCTATGCATATTCACAAGAATGGGAGGTTCTTTTCTGTATTTAGATGCTTTTAATTACGTAAAATAGGTTCAATTCTGAATCAGAAAGATTTCCCGGCAAAAAAGGCAAGAGCTAAGCTCCACCTCCTATTTTATAGTGATCAGTGATCTGTTAGATCTCTTTCTCTAAATCTAGAGTTCCTGTAGTTTAATTACTGATAACCTCTGTGTGGCTAGTGAAGAATTCCCTAAGTGGTCACAGTAATTTGTTGCGTCTGTCATGAGCACACAGTCACAGATCAAATCAGAAGCTTCAATAACGGAACATTCACATGTGGTAGTGTTTATGTTTCATTATTGTTAAATAATTAGAAAACCATTTCATAATTACCAAGAATTTTACATGCATCATAAAGTAGTGATTAACTTCTTTTTCTTAGCCAAAAATCTCAAAAAATGTTGAAAATCTTGGAAAAAGCCTTTGGTGTATCCTTAATGATTGATCACTCTTTGTTATCATTACCTCTTAAATTACATACGTACCATTGTAAAACTAAAGATACCACAGTAAAACGAAAGAGATACCACAGATACCACTGTTAAACTAGACGAAGCCCTTTGAAAATCTTAAATTATCACAAATCAACAAACACATAATTACATTTATCATACTGAGAATATATGTATCTTTATTCAAAGCCGTCTTTTCCTTGTTTATTCTCATTCTTTTCTTATTTCAGGAAAAATATAGTCATGATATACTACAGAAAATCAGAGAAAATATTAACTTCAAATCTGTGTCTATGCCCCTTTAATAGTTAAGTGTTACTTTTCCTTTTTATCCTCTTCATGTTTTTTTTCTTTATTTTGCAAAAACAATACGAAGAAGTAGTAGGGGGATATTATATAAAAGTTATACTATAAGATACCACAACCATAACATTGGAGTGAATTTTCTTTTTTAAAAAAATCACTGTTTTTGTCTTTAAGAGAAGTGTTTAAACAAAGAAATTAAGCAAAACGTTTAATGGGCAATGATATTTATTTCCATACCCTACCAGTTACTCGAGATATACTTTTATGCATATCTTGCATCCCAATAAAACACAATCAAACTCCAGTTCTTACATGACCTATACCTTTTTTTTAGTCATCTGGTGCCCAGCTTTCAAAAGATCTATACTTTTGTCCACAACACCAATAGAACAAGAGGACTGGGGGTCTGCTGAAACACGGATAGTCGCATTACTCCCAGGCCTGACAGACTTGTTGAGAAAATCCATTTTTACCTGAAACATATATTGACATTGAGAGTTGATCTTGGGTCAATCTATAACATAATTTAATTTTACGTATGTACAACAAATTTAACCTAAATTGAAAAGTCAAGAACAACCTTATTGTCAAAACATTTTTCCACTTGTAGAGTTTTACTACTGGAAACCACTTCACCATCACTCCTTATGTAATAAATAATGATCCGAGATTCAGGTGCAAATCTGGCTGTTATGGGGATGCTTATCTGAACACGGCCAATGAAACTGCTCTTTGTAATAATATCATCAAAACAAATGACTTCACAACAAGTTCCTTCAACATACTGGAAATTACGACATTTCAGGGGTTTGCACATTTGATATTCACAGTTTACATTTCCATTGTTACAACTGCATTCTAGACAAGGATCTAAGGAGTCTGTGAATTTGGATCCATCAGGCACAGGGTTCCCCAGGTTATCAACACAAGTCAATTTCTCTTGAATAGGAAAGAAAGACATAATATAAGAACAAATGATTTTAAGATAAGTATATGTAATTGTCATGATTTCGGTATGTTTATCGCAATACATCTCCTACTAGACATCTGACCCCATCTCTGGTGTTTTCAGAGGTCCGTGTTTTTGCCTTGCTCACCATTCGTATGCTGTACTGCATTCGTGAGATATAGAGGATATTCAATGTGTTGTAGACGAGTATGGAATTTATTTCACTCATGGGACAGGATTTTTTGATATTTTCTCGAGTGCGAAGCACGAGTGAAAATATAAAAAAAATCCTGTCTCACGAGTGAAATAAATTCCATATTCATCTACAAAACATCGAATTTTCTGTTTATTACATTTTCTTTGATTTTTCCTTTGCCTTTGTCTTTTCGTAACACAGTGTCATAGGCTGTGACGTTAAAGTTGAGCGGTTGACATGTCATTGCTATAAGCGATTGCGAGATTGAAAAACGTTGTAAACATGGATTTTTAACGACATATTTGGAAAAACTTTGGCAGTATAACTATTAGTGTCTGTCGGGATGGCTCATTAACCCTATCTTATAACAGGCCAGGGACTTTCTTTAAAAACACTCTTCGTGAAGGGAAGGAAAATCGTAAGTTTTGCCGCACTTCTGATATTCTCACACTGTGAGAATACCATTTTGATACCCTTGCACACTGTGTAAGAATATCACTTTTATTCAGTAAATAAATTACAGTATTTCACTGTTGAAAATGTAATAATGATCACTATTCGTTATCTTGACTTTTTACATACTTATGATGTCTGCTGAGATTCATATCAGAATAAAATGATTGAATTATGAGAACAACAGGAGTTACAGCAATATACTTCTTGTAAAATAAACGTTAATAGGTTTTTGACAATTCCTCTTTTTATTCCATTGCTCTGGTTATATAAGGTTAATAAAAATTTAAGATTTGTTTTTTAAATTCTTTTTTAATTTACAAATGTTAACGGAATTATTGAAGTCTTCCTGTATCTTATCATTTGAAAAAAGAATTTAAAAGGAGAGAATTCATACTCTGTTTATTTAAGCGAAAAAAACTGATATAAGCTTCCCGGAGGGTACAGAGGCGACAGATTTTACATTAAAAGCAAATAAAATACCTGAGGTTTCCTCATCAAGGCAAATAAAGCCACAACAAGTTCCCTCCACTAACTCGTACTTTTCACAGGGAGGGGCATCACAGTAGATATAGTTACAGTTAGTCTCTACTCCATTCTCACACGTGCACATATGACAAGGGTCAGTTCGGTTTGGAGAGAAAATATCTCCGTTCTTTACTGTGTTTCCACTATGATCGATACAGCTTCCTACATTTATATTATAAATAATCAATTAAATAAACACAGCAGATAAAAATAAATAAAAATACAAAATAGCTCACTCAGAAAAAAAAAACAGAAAACAATGAGAAATTTTAACATATACAGCGTACTATCACAAAGAACAACAAAATTATCATCTATTCCGGTAAATCAACAGTGGACATGCTATGGATATACGAATGTGGATGTCAATGAATAAATAGAGAATATTCAATGTTTTGTAGTTATAGATATGGAATTTATTTCACGACTGGGACAGGATTTTGCGATATTTTCACGACTGCAAAGCATGAGTGAAAATATAAAAAAAATCCTGTCTCACAAGTGAAGTAAATTCCTTATCCAATTACGACACTTTGAATTTTCTGTTTATTACATTTTCTTTGATTTTCCCTTTGTCTCTGTCTTTTCTTAACACAGTTAACACAGTCACATTGTGAGAAAGTATCACTTTTATTCGATAAATAAATCACATTATTACATTTTCAACAGTGAAATACTTTGATTTATTTATTGAGTAAAATTGATATTCTCTCACAGTGTGAAAAGATAACCAAAGTGATACTCTGTCACAGTGTGAAAGGATATCTAAGTAAGTAAAAATATTTTTGGCCTAACATAAGATAGAGATAGTAACTAAAGATGGTGCGGACTCTTGATACTGACTTAAACTACCAATTTCTTCCCAAAATATGTTGCTAAAATCCATGTTATAATGTTTTCAATCCCACAACTGCTAAGCTATATGACGTCCCAACCGCTCAATTATGACGTCACACCCTATGACACTGTGTTAAGAAAAGACAAAGGGGAAATCAAACAAAATGTAATAAACAGAAAATTCAATGTGTTGTAATTGGATAAGGAATTTATTTCACTTGTGAAATAGGATTTTTTTTTAATATTTTCACTCATGCTTTGCAGTCGTGAAAATATCGCAAAATCCTGTCCAGTCGTGAAATAAATTCCATATCTATAACTACAAAACATTGAATATTCTCTATTCATTTATCGAATAAAAGTGATACTTTCTCACAATGTGACTGTGTTAACTGTGTTAAGAAAAGACAGAGACAAAGGGAAAATCAAAGAAAATGTAATAAACAGAAAATTCAAAGTGTTGTAATTGGATAAGGAATTTACTTCACTTGTGAGAAAGGATTTTTTTTATATTTTCACTCGTGCTTTGCAGTCGTGAAAATATCGCAAAATCCTGTCCCAGTCATGAAATAAATTCCATATCTAACTACAAAACATTGAATATCCTCTATGTATTTCACTGTTGAAAATGTAATAAAGCATAAAGAATGTAACTTATTTATCTGATTGTGAAAAACGAGGCTTTATTTGATTATTTTTTAAATCAAATCATGGGGATATCAGCATAGTCTATTTCAGATATTAAGATAGACACGTGTATGTATGAATGTTGTTGCAGTGTAGTTGTCTGTATACAAGGGTGTCTAATTCCGCTCAAATACTAAAGAGTCCATAAACAATATGTAAATGTTTCCCCATTACATATTAGAAACCAATCATAAGATTTATACAAGATCATGAGACATCATTTCGAGACATGGTGCGAACTATTTCAAGAAGCCTTTTATTCTATTAAAAGATAATCAATTTAGTATCATTTCAATTATTATGCCTATCCTATAGCATGGGAAGATAAAGTGTAGAAAAATATGATTAAAGGAAAAGATTTAAAATAGCCTTAAGAAAGTTAAGAAAATGCCTCTGATATAAAGACATAATAGAATCATGTACTAAGTTTTTACTGAAATTGTACCAAAAACTGTCGGGGAAAGCGTTTTCAAAACAGAAAGACGGAGGACGGTCTCTGACCAGTTGAGCTAAGAAAAATTGGGGGCATTTTGTGGATCAAATAACAAATAAATGGAAAGAAAAGTTTAATCATTTATCCCATAAAAAATACCTGAGTTTTCCTCATCAAGGCAAATAAAGCCACAACAAGTTCCCTCCACTAACTCGTACTTTTCACAGGGAGGGGCATTACAGTAGATATAGTTACAGTTAGCTTCTACTCCGTTCTCACACGTACACATATGACAAGGGTCAGTTCGGTTTGTGGAGAACAACTCTCCATTATTTATAGTTTTTCCACTATGATCAACACAGCTTCCTGCTTAAAGGAAAGATATTTTATTATAAACATGTATTACATTCGTCCATGTATAACTAACATAGAGTATTGTCTAAGGAAATTTGTATTAAAAGGCAGAGACTGAGATATGTTTCATTTAGAAGATATCCTGATACTGTGGTTATTGAGTTTTCTATAGCATCAATTTATTTGTGAGATTTTGGGAGGGGGGTTCATTCCGAGTACATAAGAACAATGGAATTTAAAAAAATCCAGCAGTAATTCAAACACAAACAGATCAAGAAATTCTGACCGGTATCTTCATAATAATAGTCAGGGCATGTAAAGCCACAGCAAGTTCCCTCAATGAGCTTGTAGTTCCTGCAGGGAGGTTCATCACACATTGCCATAGCGCAGTACTTGGCAGCTCCGTTGACACAGTCGCACATCCAGCATGGATTCGATATGTTGGGAGCAAAGTTTGACCCGTTATCAAAAACTTTCCCACTATTGTCTTTACATGACTCTACAAATGCATAAGAAGTGTTATCATTAAACTACCTCACCTTATATTGTATTGTTATCATGAAAATATATACGATCTTATTGTATTTATCATGAAACTATGCAATCTAATTGTATTGTTATCAAAAAACTAACGATACTATTGTATTTTAAAAGAAAATTTTAAACAAGACAATTAAGGTATCCATGGGACTTGACAGTCATCATGGTCATATAAGTATCATTACTTTCTCAAGCAATGACCAACTCAGTTTTACTCGGAACTGAAACCCATGTGACACGACTTAATAGTTTGTTGGCGGATTGAACGAAGCTTGTCTTCATAACATCCTGGATGATATAATGCATACCCGTATCCAATATGTGATCAATTTAGCTTTTCTCTTTCTCTGATAATTAATTAATTGGGAGACAATTTATAATTTGGTAAAGAGTTCGTATTATCATCCTTAGAATTTGAGAGCTAAATGTCTAGGAATAATGAATGTATAATACAGCCAGACCCCATATATAATCAACGTAGCTAAAACACGAAGTCTGAGCCCATAGGAGAGAAGGAAACTGCATCTTATAACTAAGCGAACAGTCTGTCTGTCAGTGCCAGATTCTTATGGGTAGAGAAGTGTAATGGCTTTTCATTGCAGGAAAAAATTAGCCCTACCGTTAATTCTGAAATCTAGACCCAATCTTGACGATAAATTTTGATGTACTTGGCCCCGCTTCTTAAACCACAGAGACGATATAACCAAGAAATTTAGTCGCCCACCATGGCGCGTCTGCTCTAGAGTGGCGGAGTAAGGAGTTGATCCTTACGTCGCGGGTTCAAATCCCACTGTGGGACGTGGAGACCGGTCCTTCGGATGAGACCGTATAAACCGAGGTCCCGTGTCGCCGTAGGTGCTGGCACAAAAAAGATCCCTCACTGCTCAATGGCCGTAAGTGCCGAGTATAGGACAAAATTTGCAGCTCTCCACCGGCAAGTAGTGGCGTCTCCATATGAGTGAAAAATTCTCGAGAGGGACGTTAAACAACATACAAACAAACAAAACCAAGAAATTGACTTCATTTCCCTCTTCACTCAAAATGTTCTACATCAAATTGGTTGAAATTTGGGTGGGTTCAATCATTTCAGAAATTATGTTCTGCTAAAGTATAATTAATGGTACACTGGTATTTTGTTACCAAAAATAAAACACAGGAATTACTAGTAAGTTTGATTGAATGTGGTTACGGAGAGATAAAAACAGTTGTGTTGACTGTGTTTGAAAACTAAGTACCATACTTTTATTTTGACAACAACAAAAGATAATGTTGATGGCGTTACAATTATAAAAAAAGCTCTGAACGGTAAAATTGTATATTATGTTATTCATGACAGGGATTCATTACTTTTCTATCATAAATAAAATGTAATACTTAATTATACCCATGTGTAGTTCTAATTCTATTGCTATATATAATTATTCAAAAAATTATGGTTTGGATAGAACAGAAAAAAACTGACTGACAAACGATATAAAAAAGCACTACATTCCTATCTTTGGTCTTTTACATTGGTAATTTTTACTTACTGGTATTTCGACGTTTGCGGGACAGTATAGGTATAGGGGTTGTACGCTCTGTTGTCACGGGAGTTTGGGGGCTCAGTGTCACATTCTTCAATAAAGAATTATAGCATTCAGCTTCAGGTTGTGTTTACTGATCATTAATGGTTAAATAAAGTTATATATGAAAAAAATATATATACTAACATCAAACTTTGGTATGGGAGAAGGTCTTGGTTTTCTTGTTCCTAGAAAAATGTATTCATATATTATGTAACGATACTACTACATCGATGGTGAATGAAACCTATGTTTTGCAGCGTTTCTTGATACAAGACAACATTATAGTTAGAATAGACTAAAAGTGGACGTACTTCTAGGACGTGGTGTTGTTGTGAGGACCTGTTGTATTTTTAGATACTGGTCAGGATCAGATGGGGTCAGCAAAACGGCATCTTCTTCTGAAAACATGTGTCTTTTATTTGTTGTGTAAATCACGCGTCCTCTGGACATGACCTAGTTAAATTGGGAAAAAATAAAAAAGGACATTAAAGACTCCATATGAACAAATTCGCATAAAGACTCAGACAATCTTAAAATTAACAGATGGACCAGTAGGTCCATGCAAGTGTGTGAAAACTATATCATTTTTATATTTTTTGCAGAAATTTTATTATTTCATTTGAATAAATATGTATTGAACAATTGCATACGATTGGATCGAACCTAATATAATAGATTATATTATTTTAACCATCACTTCTCTCATTTCATTAAACTCTAAATTAACTGCACATCTGCTTTTTATTAACTAAAGTTAATTTTATATGTAGGACTTTTCAAGGATGCTACATTAATCAAATGTTATATCATTTGACACATCAAGTCTATTTTAAACGATAAACTAACCATTATATAAAAGTTATAATTTGTGTCATTTGGAGTAGAATAAAGTAGATCTAGATGGACATCCTTGCCACATGCCAGTGGTTGCTGATTATCTTCTATCTGTATATAGCTATCGGAGGGGGAGTACCATCGTCTTACACTTTTGTAGGCAGTGGCTGGTGCAAGATTGTGAAAAAGGCTGTCATCTTTGTACGTTACATCTGCATCGATTGCCTAAATTACATAGTGAAGTAAAATTATGAGAAAAAAGTAATTTTGTCATGAAATTAGAATTTCCTGCAAAAGTACATTTTATATAAAATAAACTGAAAGAACATAATTATTTTCAGGTTGTATTAGGTTACTTTTGAATAACTTGCCTCTATAGAAAATGTGGTGATGTTATTTGGTAGATCTTTGATGCTGAATGTAGCTTCACCTTGGTCGTTTGTCGTTACATTCTGACCTAGACGCCACAAGTACAGCTGGTAACTAGAAGCTCTAATGGATATACTCTTGTTGGAGGCTGGACTACCATCAGGATTTTTTGCTATGACCTGTGCAAAAAAAAAAAACATTTATTTTTTGTAAGTTGTTTCATTTTGGCATGTCATACATACATTAAATCAAGCATTATGGGTTTTGTTTTTAGTATTTTTGAATAATACATCTTCAAATTTTGTTAGATTTATATAGAAGAAAATGATCACACCTTCCCGCGGTAGGGGAACATTGTCTTAAAGAATCCATCAGTGTCATCCGTGACTTCAAGTTTACAGGATTCGGTTGTCAACCTAGGTCCACTTGATTCGCCATGCAACGTGACGCCTTACAATCATTTGAAAATAAAATATGTTTGTTATGATACTTTGTAAAGATTTAGCGTCTTTTAATATACCATATAAGTTATTGTTAACGATTAATGAGGGACATGTTTTGACAGGTACAATGATCCAGGTGATAAAACATACCAGTTCCTCCCTCTGTAACTGTGGCATTGATCTTCAGTTTCCCCCAGATGTTGAATCGTTTGGAGTTAAGGTAGATTTCTGATGAATTCACGGATACCATTGTACATCCATTGATCTATTTGATGATAAGACTTACCGTTATAAATAATGAAAGTCTTTAAAATTTTTCACCAAATAAACGGTAGTTGTATGAGTATTAGCTTAGAAATACAATTTTGTTCATAAATAAACTACACAGGTATGTGATTTTTTTTTGTGTGAAATCAATAACTGGTATGGATGTAAAATCTCTCTCTCACACACCTCTAAGAGCCTTTCAGTGCATGGTCTTTCAAATTGAACCCCTGACCGCATTCCAAAGTAATAGTAAGTAGATTTGTAGCAGATTTTGACAGCTAGCTGACCCTGGACCGGTTTACCATAGGTATACCTAAAGTTTGTAAAAGAAAAATTCAAACATTACATTGCAGATACTCTTGGATACAATTTAAGCCAAACAAATGTATATTAATTAGACCACAAAGATAAAATAGACCAAAAGCATAACATATACCTTTTTACAATTAAAACATGGAAAAGTACATATCTGTATGTAAATAAGCCAGAAGTAAAGTGTTTTTTTTTTTTAACTTTGTCTTACTTGGCACAGACTTTGGCATCAATAGTTGGTGAGGTGGTCAGTAAATAAGAGGGTGGTGTGATGGTCACTTCGTATTTCGGTAAAACTGTAAAAAAATGTTTTGTTATAGTGACTTCAAATCAATAGTTTATTTTAGACATTCCATGAAATACAAAAGGCCCTTTGGCCTCGATAGTTTTATGAGTATCCACAGCTTCTCGACACATAGCCAACCTAACCCCATCTGGGAATGACAAGCTAGATCATTGTGACATAATCTTTAACATTGATTGGGAGAGAAAAGTTTTCTGATTTATACTTAAGCGGAAAAAAATGATGATGGTCTAATGTAGTCTACCTTCATATTTCTTCAAAATGTAAACAATTTATTTAATTTAGCCCTATTCTGGTGGTTTGATCCTAGATCCCAGGTTCTGATTTTCCCATTTTAAGTAAAGGGCTAATTAATTGTCATCATGCATTTGATTACAAAATGTCTAAAGTAAAGAAAGATTTTCAAACAGATAATTTTAAAAAAAGCTAAACATTTGGGTCTGTTCCATTGGCCCGGGGGCATGAATTTCAAACTTTTTTGTGGAGCAATAATATTCATTGCTTCTATTCAAACCTTTTTATTGCCCTTACAAAAAAGGAAATAATGTTCAAATATGGGTAATAAATTTTTACTTTGACCAACAGGGTTGGCAAAAAACTGGGAAACACTCATATTTCCCAGGACAGTTGGAAATACTGGTAATTACCGGGAATTACTGGTAATTCCAGGGAAATACTGGGAAATAAGAAATAGCCACATACTTCATTCACATTGACATGTAGTGCACCTCATTGGCTAAGATATCCACCCGGTATCACTGTCCCTGATTTAAAAAAAAATTCTGGTTTCCAAGTAATTCATTTTATATAATCATAACACAGTATATTCATATACCAGTCTTGAGTGTTTTGTTTCATGCTTGAGTCAGATGTAGTCTATAATTAAAAGGTCCATGAAATAAACCCAAAGATCCCATTTGGTTTTTTATGTTACTAAACTAAAGAAGGATCTAAGAAAATTCTTAAATGTAGAGTATGGTATAAATATCAAACCTAAGAAAAAGCCTTTCAGTTCTACTCAAGGTAATTATCTCTCAAAACAGAAGCACAAAACTGTCCAGAGCAATTTGTTAAAACAACATGATTGTTTGTAATAACTGCAGTGTTTATAGGATTAAAACAAAACAAGTTTTTTTTTGTTCTTGGATTTATAATTAATAAACTTAATAATTTTACAAAAATGAAAAGAAACTTGAATTGGAAAACTTCAGTTTTAGACAGCCAGGGAAATGTTTCAGAATGCTAATGGGTATGGGACCTGGAGTAGTGATACATTCTGAATATGTTAAATTGCATTTAAGACATATTCCTTATTATTCATCTGTTTTTATGTTTATTTTATTTTTGAATTTTGTATAAGATTGAATGAATTAAAGAAATTAAAAAAAAAACTTTAAATTTGTATTTCCCAGTTAGAGAAAAATTGTAGTATTTCCCGAGACGGATTCACCACTGGTAATTCCCACCAACGGTATTTCCCGGCCAATCCTGTTGACCAACTTATGACCATCTTTTAGTCTGACTCATAAGACAGAATTTCACTTTGTTGGTAGAGGGCTCAACATAACCGTTAAAGCAGTGCGTCCCCTAGACGTCGATTACTAAAGAAGAATATTTGTTTTAAGATATCGGAATTATAAAAGATGATCAATGTAACTTAGCACTTCCCGTGAGCATAAAACCTTGACCAAAGAGTCGTAAATTTCACAATTTTGGTAAGGGCTGATTGTTATAAAGATGTTATAAGCAAAAAGTTAGATATGTTCAAGGAGTAAAAATAGATAGGTGTAAATGTTCACTAATTGACCTTGTCCAGTTTAGATCCTTTCCGGGCCTTGAACCTCGGAAACAGAGGTACATGAGGTTTACAGTTTAGTAGAGAAATAAAGTTTTGAAATATCTGAAACTGAAACTGTTTTTGGATGACGGACGACGACAGATTTAAAGTCATCTGAGTGGCTCATGTGACGTAAAATAGATATTATAAATCTCTTTGAATACTCTGGTAAGCTCTACTTGTAAATATTAACTAATCAATCCACGAACCATATTCCTCCACAGAGAATGTGTTTGTATATTCTTTGTTATCATTGTAGATAGCTTTGATCATCCAGGTTCCCAATGGCGGATCATCTGACAACAACATCTCCAGACTCGCAATACCTGACAAAATCAACAAAATCGTATAAAGTAACAAACTGTGTAACTCTCTACCATATGTAACATTCAACGTATAGGCTGATTTCTGTAGTGCCTGTTCTGGTACTTAGTATTAATACTTAGTACTGATACTTAGTACTGATACTTAGTACTGATACTTCGTACTGATACTTAGTACTGATACTTCGTACTGATACTTAGTATTGATACTTAGTAATGATACTTAGTACTGATACTTAGTAATGATACTTAGTAATGATACTTAGTACTGATACTTAGTAATGATACTTAGTACTGATACTTAGTAATGATACTTAGTAATGATACTTAGTACTGATACTTAGTACTGATACTTAGTACTGATACTTCGTATTGATACTTAGTATTGATACTTAGTACTGATACTTAGTAATGATACTTAGTAATGATACTTTGTAATGATACTTAGTACTGATACTTAGTAATGATACTTAGTAATGATACTTAGTACTGATACTTAGTAATGATACTTAGTACTGATACTTAGTACTGATACTTCGTACTGATACTTCGTACTGATACTTAGTACTGATACTTAGTATTGATACTTAGTATTGATACTTAGTACTGATAATTAGTACTGATACTTAGTAATACTTAGTACTGATACTTAGTACTGATACTTAGTACTGATACTTAGTACTGATACTTCGTATTGATACTTAGTACTGATACTTAGTACTGATACTTCGTATTGATACTTAGTACTGATACTTAGTACTGATTCTTCGTACTGATACTTCGTATTGATACTTTGTACTGATACTTAGTACTGATACTTAGTAATGATACTTAGTACTGATACTTAGTACTGATACTTAGTACTGATACTTAGTACTGATACTTCGTACTGATACTTAGTAATGATAATTCGTAATGATACTTAGTACTGATACTTAGTAATGATACTTAGTACTGATACTTAGTACTGATACTTAGTAATGATACTTAGTATTGATACTTAGTACTGATACTTAGTAATGATACTTAGTACTGATACTTAGTACTGATACTTAGTAATGATACTTAGTACTGATACTTAGTAATGATATTTAGTACTGATACTTCGTATTGATACTTAGTACTGATACTTAGTACTGATACTTAGTACTGATACTTCGTATTGATACTTAGTACTGATACTTCGTATTGATACTTAGTACTGATACTTAGTAATGATACTTAGTACTGATACTTAGTAATGATACTTAGTACTAATACTTAGTACTGATGCTTAGTAATGATACTTAGTAATGATACTTAGTAATGATACTTAGTAATGATACTTCGTATTGATACTTAGTATTAATGCTTAGTACTAATACTTAGTACTAATACTTAGTACTAATACTTAGTAATGATACTTCGTATTGAAACTTAGTATTAATGCTTAGTACTGATACTTAGTACTAATACTTAGTAATGATACTTCGTATTGATACTTAGTATTAATGCTTAGTACTAATATTTAGTAATGATACTTAGTAATGATACTTCGTATTGATACTTAGTATTAATGCTTAGTACTAATACTTAGTACTGATACTTAGTACTAATACTTCGTATTGATACTTAATGTGAAATTAATAGAAAATAATCTACATGTATCAATAATAATATTTTAAAAGGCAAAAGTTACTGCATACAAAGTATGGTATTTATAATTAAATGTTGAAAATGTCATGCAGTAAAACAATTTGTAATGTGTGGGAATTACTGATACAAAAGTAAAACATTCATAGAACACTCATAACTTTAAGCTTAATTTAAAACGTCAGAAAGCTGATCATGAGGGATTCAGACGGTAACAGAAGATAACACTGTCTAGTATTGTCACAGAGTATGGATAACGTATCCTATCTAGATATTGGTTTTCAGTCTTGCTGTCTGAATCACTCTTGCCTGGTATTGTCACAGAGTATGGATAATTTATTCTATCTATATATTGGTTTTCAGTCTTGCTGTCTGAATCACTCTTGTCTGGTATTGTCACAGAGTATGGATAATTTATCCTATCTAGATATTGGTTTTCAGTCTTGCTGTCTGAATCACTCTTGCCTGGTATTGTCACAGAGTATGGATAATTTATTCTATCTATATATTGGTTTTCAGTCTTGCTGTCTGAATCACTCTTGTCTAGTATTGTCACAGAGTATGGATAATTTATCCTATCTAGATATTGGTTTTCAGTCTTCTGTTAGAACAACACAGTTTGTCTTATATATACTAGAACAGCACTGCATGTAAGAAATGAATACTGGCAATTAAATGAAAACAGTGTATGAATTTTAAAGCTCATATTCTTTAGAGGGAAAAAAATGTTAAACTGGACAATTAGGGGATGAGATAATGAAGATAATAAATAACTCAAAAGTAAAAGATCAGAAAAAAAACGAATATAGACACTATGAAGACAGCGGCAGAAAAAGCAGCGAGAAAAAAAGTTAAAAGCAAGCAAAAAGGGACACGTTTATAGCAAATGAAAAAGCAGCCAACTGTCATGTTATAAATTTTGTATTAACTGCCACCCGGTAAATTCAAAATTTACAACATGATACAACTACCAAAGCAAAGCAAATCATTCAGAATAAATAAGAATTTGAATGAAAATGTGACGTAATTAAAAAATACCAAAAAAATTACGAAAAACAGAAATACACAACTTAATAAATTACATAGAGAAAATTCACAATATTTACGAAAATTAAAATGACTTTTATTGGGAACTAAGATTGAAAAAAGACTGGTGGGAAGAAAAGTAACTGTAACTGTTTTGAGACCAGGGATGGGGTAATCGTAATCGATTGTAATGATTACTTTTTTTCGAGTAATCGACAGTAATCTGTAATCGAAGAGATTTTCGATTACTTGTAATCGTAATTTAATCGATTACAGCTAAAATTTTCAATGTAATTATAATTACTTTTTCGGTTACTTTCGATTATTTTATACATAAATGGATGTTATTTCGGAGAATTATTTCCTGTCATTCACACATAAATATCAAATATAAACCACCTAGTGTAATGTTTGGATTACATAACTTTTATTATAAGTTTAATAATGTTCTCAATAAAATTTGCATTATAGACCTACTGGTCTAGTATTAAATAATTCAGAAGTGTATTTCAACCATTTATTAATAAAACATACAGATTTTTTGTATGCATTTTACATTTGACCCACTGTCCTCTTGCTGCATGTCCTTTTGGGCTTTTTCATATTTCAAATATTGAAAAGCTTTGTCTTGTAATAGAAAATTATAAATAGCAAAAACAGATTTAAGGGCTGTATTAAATATAAATAATTTGGTAAATAAATTACATTGTACTCGAAAAAAAGAAGAAGATGGAAATACTTATTCATATCTGAAAATGTTTAAACAACTTCAAACTTGTTGTTTTAGTAACTTTAAAATTTGCAAAATCATTCTCATGTTTTCATTCAAAATTATAAGGTTTCTTTTGTATCAGTGAGGGGTTATAAGTGTCTGTAAGAGAGGGAATAAGTGTCACTGTTTTCTTATCTTGGCTAATTAATTGACTGAGACATCCCTGACTTGCAGATAATGAGGTGTAAACTACAAATTGAGACTCAAGGAAGACTTGTACACTAGAGACTGAGTAGTTGTTGAGAGACAGGGACCATAATCTCGTGCCACTAAGTACGAAAGGGATACGCTAGTTCTTAAGTAAGGGTTGTAGTTCTTTGTGATATAAATTAAATTCTTCACCTTTAGATGTAGGAACTTGTTTCCACTGCATGACGCGTATGTTACTGGGATTCTCAATGTAGACCCATTTGATCTGTATAAAATAAAGAGGACATATATGCATTATTAAATTTTTACATTATTTTTTTGTTTTATTTTCACCAACTATTAAAAAAAAATATACGACCAATACCAAACTAAACATTTAATTTCTTTCAGGAGCTTGAGGCATGTAATTTTTATTTCAGAAGGTTTTAAAGTATTAATGAATTATGCAAAATACGTAGAAATTTGTCTGTGGCTTTGCATCTGAGCCAGAAAGAAAGAAGTGTGCTTATGAATTTCTAATAAACAAGATGAAAATAACATTTCTTAATACAAATACATGTAGATCAAAAGAGAACTTATTCACTTAAGATCAGTTTATCTCATGTTCTAATACAACCTTGTCTGTGTCAGGAAGCAAGTTGTTATCAGCCTTCAATCGCATAATCCGGAACTTTACTGTATAAAAGAATCATTTTGTAATATTAATTCATAATTAACGCATAGTTGTATTGAATTTATAATGAAAAAGTTTCCTTTCAAATTATTTTTTATTGGGGGGGGGGGGGGGGATTCGGTTCGCTTCCCTATGAAGGCAATGATAACGCTGTTCAAAAAGAGGTATCGATATGGGAAAAATGAGATATTTTGTTTCAATTAAATGGAAGCCATATCTTGCAAAAAAAGCATAATTCGTAGATTAATTGTCTGTAAATGTTTTGATATATGATATGCACGATGCAAAATTGTAATCGCAAACAGTATTTTGAAACCACTTCTTTTATTTTTTAGCAGAAATTCTAAAATACAGTTCAGAGGGCTTAGAGTATAGTAAACTTCTTTAATCTTTCTCGTTTTCATCAATGTTTCAAAAGCTAGTGAAAACTATGTTTAATAGCTTAAAAACTGTTTAAAACGTTTTAAGCAATTCTAAACTATAACTGATATGCGTTATCATTTATGCCTATTATCTGTCGTTTACGGGTTTGTGAGCCTAAGAATTCCCAAAAATCATTGGTTTTCGTTCGAGAAACAAAATTTAATGACAATATTAAAATGATTTCAAATGTAAAACTGTATTCTATGACAATGACTATAGTTTGCAATGATTTCATTCATAAAACTTAGTTATGGCAAACCCTGGTTTACAATTAAAAAACCTTTAAATTAAATGCAAGGCTTTGCTTTACTCATTTTAATGAAATTGGATTGTCATATTCAATGCAAAAATAACATTTACAGGGCCTTTGATTCGTATTGTATTCAAATCTCTAAACTTAGGTAATGATGTATATGACTGATTGAAACATTGTGGTTGATCTCTGTAAACTGAAGAACCTAATTCTTGTTTTGTTTTAAAACTTAAACTTGTTACCAGAAATATAATTTACAAATATAAGACATAGTTTATTTGGTTAAAAAAATGTTTTCACGATTTGTAAAAGCATAACTAACAATTAACTCTTGATTAATTTTTAAGAAAAAATGTACATTTAATGTGAGCTATTCCTGACCTTACGTGCATTCACTGATTGATTAATCTTGTTTAGCATTCGTCCTTCGTAAACTTAACTTATACCTACCATCAAAGTTTCATAGGCCCTCTCCACAAGAGAGGGCTTATATAGGCTATGCCTGCTGCCCGATCCAGTTATGTATTTATTACATAATAAAATATGTTCAAAACGAAACAAGTTTCATAGGCGAAAACTATAGGTAAACAAATCGTTTACTACAGTTTAATTACGTTTTATAAATTTTCGTTTAAACGGTTGATAAGGTTTACTATATATGTTTTGCTTATTTTTTGGGACTAAAGTGTGTCGTAGTCAACTTTTTATTAGAGTCCATCTTGTAGTCATGACTGTATTGCTAACCTGACTGCCCTGGCTTATACAAAGGTTTGTCCGTCTGTATCAGGGTTATATCTGGATCCTGTCGACGAGATCTTACATTAACATGTTGTTCATAGCTGACGCTGTGGTTGTCTCTGGAGGGAAAACCGGGTGATAGTTTATGAGCATAGATTCCATGACCATCCATTGTGACATTACAAGTCCAGAATCCTTCTTGTTTAGGAGCACGTAGTTTTCGGCAACTGATAGCATCAGAAACTGTTGATGAATGAAACTTGTAATAAATCTCTATAGTCTTTCTGGCTAAAATATTGTGCATTACACTTTTAAGAGTCATGTTAGATTTTTGAAATGTTGAATTATATGTATGTCTCACTCAATGTTTTTTTTCTTCTTCAAAATTCCGATAAGATTGACAGTAAGTATGCCCTGATATGGTTCATATCAGACCAACTATAAACCCTCACTAATAACTCTAATTAAAACGCAAACTTACTCTACAGTATATGTATATGCACTGTTTGTTCTTAAAACGTTCTCATTACTACAGTCTTTTCCTAAACTGATCTCTGGTTTTACTACAGAATATTATACTTTTATAGAGAGCACCTGTATTTATTTGTACGCACCACTGAGGTAAGTCTGAGGTGGATAGTTCACAGTCTCTGTTTCTCCGAGAATCATATCCACTCTGACTTCTACTGCGCCATCAAAGGAACTCCCAGGAAAGGAAACACAAAAATCAAACTCTTCCCCTTTGTAGATTGAGGCAGGCACGGTAAATAAAAAGTCACTATAAAAAACAGGACAAAAACATTATATGAATATATACTCCTTCTAAGAAAATTACCCCCCCCCCCAGTTTATATTAATTTAATCAATATAATAAAAACAGGCCCGTAGTAACGGTGGGGGGGGGGAGGCAACCAGCATCTAAAGGAAAATTAACTATAGCAAAATACTATATTCAAAAAAAGTAGTTGACAGGTGACCCCCCCCCCCCCCCCCCCCGCGTTCTACGGGCCTGAAAAAAATCTATTTAAAAAGGACAATATGCATTCATTCTAAGGGGACGAGACAGATTCCTCGTGAAAAATGAAATGTATAACCGGCATCTACGTTTCCTTCTATAATGTTGAAGTCTTAATTCGTCACTTTTTCATCCTGCTCTAAATTTTGAGCGAAAGCGTTTTCATATGATGCAAATATAAAATGATAACAAGATGTGTTTATGAAACACTGATGCCCCCGTATGACAGCTTATGGCGAAGGTTAAAGTTTCTCAAATGCAAGTCAAAATCCAGGCCAAAAGATAAAAATATTAAATTTGAAAGCCCTAGCTGCAACTGTTCAAAAGTTATGGCGAAGGTTAAAGTTTTTTTTAAAAGTAAGTAAAACATCAAGGTCAAGGTCAAAATTGTTGGTATCCAAAGGAAGGTCTTGTCACAAGGATTACATATGTAAAGTATGAAAGCCCTAGCACCAACCATTCAAAAGTTATGGCCAAAGTTAAAGTTTATCAAAAGTATGTCAAACTCCTAGGTCAAGGTCAAAGGGTCAAAGGGGTTGGTATCCAAAGGAAGGTCTTGTCACAAGGATTACATATGTGAAGTATGAAAGCCCTAGCTCCAACCATTCAAAAATTATGGCCAAGGTTAAAGTTTTTCAAAAGTAGGTCAAACTCCTAGGTCAAGGTCAAAGGGTCAAAAAGGTTGATATCCAGAGGAAGGTCTTGTCACACTGAATACACATGTGAAGTTTGAAACCCCAAGCACCAACTGTTCAAAAGCTATGGCCAAGGTTAAAGTCTCATAAAATTTTGCAAAAGTGGGTCAAACTCCAAGGTCAAGGTCAAAAGGTCAAATATGATGGTACCCAAAGAAAGGTCTTGTCACAAGGAATACACATGTGAAATATGAAAGTCATAGCTCCAACCAATCAAAAGTTATGGGCAAGGTTAAAGTTGACAACAGACAGACAGACAAACAGACAAACAGACAGACAGGACAAAAACAATATACCCCCGGGATCTTTCGATCCAGGGGCATAATAAAAAAAATAGGTGTAACCATTAAAATGTGTCACGTTTTAAATCAACCCAGGAAAAAGGAAAATCTCAGCAGTGTGGTGTATTCACAGGCCCGTTTGCTTTAATTAAATTTTACGGAAATCTAAATTCTCACCATTTCTCAAATACGTACATTCACTCAACTATGATAAATAATTCTAATTTACTTTATTTTAACTTTTCAAAAATGAGTTTTAGAAATAAAAAGGAATAAATAAATAGAAAATAGAAAGAGTTTTGATATAGAAGAGGTTACTCATATAAGCAAAAAATATAATGTATAAGGCCAAAGTTTTTATTTTTTTTGGTTTACGATTTTCTGTCTCAAAAAAATGCATTGGGTGGTCGAAAAATAAAAATAAAAATAATTTAGGATTCAACAATTTCATTTTTAAATACCAGCAATGTTTATTTTAATGAAAATACACGTCAATAGTACTTTTAAGTTTTATTGTCTTGATCACATAACTCTTTTTATTTAATTTTAATTCATTTCTAACTTTAGACTGAATGTCATTTTCATTTAGTTCTGATTTTTGTTTGTCAATCAGTGCTTGGTTCATGATTTTCAATTTCTTTTTGTGCTCTTCAGTGATATGTGATGTGTTATAAACCTCAGTATCCCCACAAACTAAAAATAAGGATCCAAATTTAAGTTAAATTTAGATAGAAGAAAAATACAATTTAATTGTTTAACAATATTGAAAGTAATTGACGTTGAAATAAAGGTTATACTGTAATAATTTGATCATGCAGCTATTAAATTTAATGTTCAAATAATTTCTCAATCAAGCCCTTCTTTAAATTTTGTTATGTACCTGCACAGTAGGCAATGCTCATTATTTACTTAGTAATTCAGAGGGCTCTAATCTCAATTGAGTATCAAATTTGCAAAGATTTGTATATTAAAATTACTTCTATAAATTAACAAAATGTTTTATACACATTTGAATTTATCCAGTGAAATAATCACTCAGGTCAGTGTTACTACTAAGATGTATCTCTCAACACTAAATTGGCTTAACTATTATCCATGGATTTATCAGCCTATTTTGGGAAACACCATTTTTGGGAAATTGGGAAAAAAATATCGGCTATTTGATGAAATTGGAAAAAAAAATTAAAATGTTGCTTAAATCATGTATTCAGGGGTAATTCATTTAACATTTCAGCATGAACTCTAATTTGGGCAACCAAACGACAATTAGAATGGACTTCAATGAGTATAAAGTATTTATACAACTTAGGGTGGTACATGTACATGTGTGTATGAGATTTCAATTTAGGTCATTATAGCGAGCGCAGCGAGCGGCGCGAAGCGCCGCTCGTCACTGCGAGCTCTAACGACAACGCCTGGGCGAAGAGAAAATTCGGACTACTGCACATTCATTCAATAGAATTTTTTTCCGCAGTAATTCTGACCCACAATGCATCGCTTCTTGTTCTCGCTGCTAACTTCGTTCACGCGGTGACAACAACTAAAAACACAAAAAATAAACTCACCTTAATTAATGGCTATTGCATGCAGATAGTAGATTAAACGTTAAATCTTTGTTAAAATATTTGCACTTTTTAAACTTTGTTTATGGAAATGCAGCTAACGTACGACGTCATGTGACGTCACAGTCTAAGACGTTCCAAATGTCTCGTGCGGTTTGAAGAGGCGGATCTTAAAATGAAGTGAACAATGCGCTCGCCCCAACGGTCGCACCGTCAACATATTAGTATCTGTTTCTGGATATTATAAACCTCCTGCAAAAAATTATACTAAGTACACATTTCTAAAAGTCCTCTTTTAATATGTATTAATGCATTGAAAATATATTTTTCTATCTGAAATAATGCATAAAGTCCTTACCATTCACTTGTAGATCAATTGAGTAGATGGAAATAACTTAATAAATCTATATAATTACACAATATCATCATTTTTAGAAAACGGAGGAAATTCGGATTAAAAGTTGGCGACGTTTTTTCAGTGTTTTAAAACATGTGTTATGACTGTAGCTTTGCTAAATGAGTTAAATAGATGAAAATTACAGACAATCTGACAATTTTACTTTTTTCCCAAAGATAAAATAAAATAAAAGCATTGTTCACCAATTGGGAAAAATACTGCCAAACTGGGAAAACTGAACTCATTTTCAATTGGGAATGAGGCCGAATTTCGGCCCATGAGAAGGCACTGATAAATCCCTGTTACCTATAGGTGTATCCGTGTCTGCTAGGTCGATCAGGGTTGGTCATACATTCTCCAATATTACGGGATGAATTTAGCCAATTGAGACATCGCAATTAGAGAAAGGGATCATGCATCCAAGATTTTATTCACTTTTCCATGCATAAAAAGTTCTTTAAGTGTGTGTCATTCCTTTCAGTGAGGAATTACCTTGTTACATGACAGAACCGCCATTTTTGGTTTGCACATGTGTTTATTTACGGTCACCTAAATGTTTGTTAAGGTGTCATATATTTATAAGCGCTTATTTGACTAAGATGCATTCTAAAATTTAAAACCCACCAGTTCAGCTGAGAAAAATCCTGAAAAATATGTCGGAAAAAGACATTATTTTTATTTTCATGATTGGTGAAAATTAGGGTCGGCGGAATCGTAAACCAATTGAAAAAAAAACTTTGGCCTAAGCATTACCTTTAAGCCTGAAATAAGGGGGGGGGGATTCTCTAATTAAATTTGGATTGTAGAAATATTACGATATGTTTTAATTAATTTAAATGATTAATTAAATTACATTTACTTTTTCATACAAAACGTAATTACTTCTGATTATATATCGTATATGTACACTATTTTAATTTAAACATATTTTATTGAATAAATCAATAAGGATCAGGAAACAGACAAAGCCATTACATACCCTCTCCTTGTGTAACAGGTCAAGTCAAAGACAATAATAATTATAATACGTGATAATAATACTAATAGTCAAAAATAAAGATTCACGATCAAGTATCATTCCTCAATATTGTATTTAAAAAAAACAAATGATGACCCCCTGATTTTGTATAAATTATTTACTTACTGTTCCAGTTTTAATATAAGTATTGTAAAACTGTACATTTAATACAGTATTTAATATTACAATATACTTAGTTTGGTATCTTAGTAGATTTAATAAATTCATGTACATGTGAAAAAATTTCACAGTTCTTATGATAGGAATATTGACATTTTCCTCTTAACAAAGTGTTAACAGTTAATTTCTTTCAACAGTTTATGAAGGACATTTGATAAGATAATGTTTAGTATCCTCAGTATAAAAGTCACACTCTTCACATAATTGAACATCTGATAAAAAATGAGTTTTTTAAATGGGCATTGAGATTGCTAGCATTGTTTCGCAACTGACAATGTAAGATATTCTCTTTTCTATTACCAAAGTTAAAGTACCTAGACATGGTTTGTTAGTTGCTCCCCAACTTTTAAGCTTTGCTTTAAAGATAATGATGAAGAGTTTTTGATATCCTCACTAAGGCCAAAGTTTTTTTTTCAATTGGTTTACGATTCCGCCGACCCTAATTTTCACCAATCATGAAAATAAAAATAATGTCTTTTTCCGACATATTTTTCAGGATTTTTCTCAGCTGAACTGGTGGGTTTTAAATTTTAGAATGCATCTTAGTCAAATAAGCGCTTATAAATATATGACACCTTAACAAACATTTAGGTGACCGTAAATAAACACATGTGCAAACCAAAAATGGCGGTTCTGTCATGTAACAAGGTAATTCCTCACTGAAAGGAATGACACACACTTAAAGAACTTTTTATGCATGGAAAAGTGAATAAAATCTTGGATGCATGATCCCTTTCTCTAATTGCGATGTCTCAATTGGCTAAATTCATCCCGTAATATTGGAGAATGTATGACCAACCCTGATCGACCTAGCAGACACGGATACACCTATAGGTAACAGGGATTTATCAGTGCCTTCTCATGGGCCGAAATTCGGCCTCATTCCCAATTGAAAATGAGTTCAGTTTTCCCAGTTTGGCAGTATTTTTCCCAATTGGTGAACAATGCTTTTATTTTATTTTATCTTTGGGAAAAAAGTAAAATTGTCAGATTGTCTGTAATTTTCATCTATTTAACTCATTTAGCAAAGCTACAGTCATAACACATGTTTTAAAACACTGAAAAAACGTCGCCAACTTTTAATCCGAATTTCCTCCGTTTTCTAAAAATGATGATATTGTGTAATTATATAGATTTATTAAGTTATTTCCATCTACTCAATTGATCTACAAGTGAATGGTAAGGACTTTATGCATTATTTCAGATAGAAAAATATATTTTCAATGCATTAATACATATTAAAAGAGGACTTTTAGAAATGTGTACTTAGTATAATTTTTTGCAGGAGGTTTATAATATCCAGAAACAGATACTAATATGTTGACGGTGCGACCGTTGGGGCGAGCGCATTGTTCACTTCATTTTAAGATCCGCCTCTTCAAACCGCACGAGACATTTGGAACGTCTTAGACTGTGACGTCACATGACGTCGTACGTTAGCTGCATTTCCATAAACAAAGTTTAAAAAGTGCAAATATTTTAACAAAGATTTAACGTTTAATCTACTATCTGCATGCAATAGCCATTAATTAAGGTGAGTTTATTTTTTGTGTTTTTAGTTGTTGTCACCGCGTGAACGAAGTTAGCAGCGAGAACAAGAAGCGATGCATTGTGGGTCAGAATTACTGCGGAAAAAAATTCTATTGAATGAATGTGCAGTAGTCCGAATTTTCTCTTCGCCCAGGCGTTGTCGTTAGAGCTCGCAGTGACGAGCGGCGCTTCGCGCCGCTCGCTGCGCTCGCTATAATGACCTAAATTGAAATCTCATACACACATGTACATGTACCACCCTAAGTTGTATAAATACTTTATACTCATTGAAGTCCATTCTAATTGTCGTTTGGTTGCCCAAATTAGAGTTCATGCTGAAATGTTAAATGAATTACCCCTGAATACATGATTTAAGCAACATTTTAATTTTTTTTTCCAATTTCATCAAATAGCCGATATTTTTTTCCCAATTTCCCAAAAATGGTGTTTCCCAAAATAGGCTGATAAATCCATGGATAATAGTTAAGCCAATTTAGTGTTGAGAGATACATCTTAGTAGTAACACTGACCTGAGTGATTATTTCACTGGATAAATTCAAATGTGTATAAAACATTTTGTTAATTTATAGAAGTAATTTTAATATACAAATCTTTGCAAATTTGATACTCAATTGAGATTAGAGCCCTCTGAATTACTAAGTAAATAATGAGCATTGCCTACTGTGCAGGTACATAACAAAATTTAAAGAAGGGCTTGATTGAGAAATTATTTGAACATTAAATTTAATAGCTGCATGATCAAATTATTACAGTATAACCTTTATTTCAACGTCAATTACTTTCAATATTGTTAAACAATTAAATTGTATTTTTCTTCTATCTAAATTTAACTTAAATTTGGATCCTTATTTTTAGTTTGTGGGGATACTGAGGTTTATAACACATCACATATCACTGAAGAGCACAAAAAGAAATTGAAAATCATGAACCAAGCACTGATTGACAAACAAAAATCAGAACTAAATGAAAATGACATTCAGTCTAAAGTTAGAAATGAATTAAAATTAAATAAAAAGAGTTATGTGATCAAGACAATAAAACTTAAAAGTACTATTGACGTGTATTATTTTCATTAAAATAAACATTGCTGGTATTTAAAAATGAAATTGTTGAATCCTAAATTATTTTTATTTTTATTTTTCGACCACCCAATGCATTTTTTTGAGACAGAAAATCGTAAACCAAAAAAAATAAAAACTTTGGCCTAAGACTGTTCCAAAGTTTTATAGTTGAGGGAATAAAAGTATTATAGTAAAACATTGTTTTACAAAGTGGTATACGCAAATTATCATATCCAGACCTTAGGTTACATGTGTATATATGTTGAACTGAAAAAAGGGTTGAATCGATTCATACAAATAATCAGGTGCATAACCATTAATTATTTTATACATCAATTGAAGTTTGTGTTTTTCTCTTCTAAGATATAATGGTTCCCATCCAAGTTCACGATACAAACAAGATTTGGAAGAATGAACTCTAAGCCCAGTAATAATTCTGGCAGCTTCATTGTCCTCTTAACCTACTTGTATATTTGTGTACTGATCTACGGAAAACCATTTAGGACCTATCAAAAAGTATTTTTGAACTGGATATAAGGAATTATTAAATTCATTCAAACAAATTCAATTCGTTATATAATTACAAATTTTTGAATTCGTTATATCGAATTTAATCTGTTAAAACAAATTTGTTAAGTTCATTTTGACAAATTATAAAAATTGTTAACTCGAATTAAATATGAAATAACGAATTTCAGAATTCACAATTTCATATTTTCATTTCGTTTTAATAGATATAAAAAATGATTGAATTGCATTTGCATTTTTGCTTTCACTGGCCAATTCCAATTGGGGTATCAAAAAATGATGAGATGATTTGATTGGATATATCAAAACGTGCGGCCAACTGGGCATTTCCTTTCGTTTAAATAATAATTTATGTTACATTTGAAGAGTGAAAATAGTTAACTCTATGTTCGCTTATGCATTGGTGTTTTATACCCCTGGGGCTTTGTTCTTCAGAATGGTTTTAATTCTTCTGAAATAGGTGAGATTGATTAATATATGTCATGAACATAAAATCTTCAAAAGTTAAGTAGCTACAGAATAACATGTAGATGTATCATACTTAGATAGAATTCACAGGGTAACGACAACTACTTGTTCAGTGATGTTCTGATAGAAGTGTCCCGAGCCCTACTGAATATATTTAGATGAGGTGGAACACTCATCGGGAACACACTTGAAAAAGTAGTCTTTAAATCACGCAGGCCTCTTAAAACTTGACAAATAGGAAATTCGGCTCTTCATTTTTCCAAGCTGGGGTGGGAATTAACCAACTTACGTAATATAATTTAAGTGGTCATTTTCCGACTTATAAAATTGTTGTATACTCGGTCAAATTCCTCCTTGAGTCATACTAACCTAACAGCTGTCATAAACTCTGCCCGCAAGCTGTTTATAAATGTAGATAGGCTACTAATTAAATAATTTCTTAACAATATGACGCAAACGATTAAAAAAAAATGATGATATGACTTGTATATTTTTTCTATAAAAATACTGGTATTTTCATTTCTGTTGCGTGAAAATTAAGCATCATATATAACGCTCAGCAAAATGTCCTACATGAATTAGTCAAATGCGTGCGATTTCTATTTTGTTATCAAGAAACCGGGGCACAACTACAATTAAGAAAGATATAAAATTTTCATTTTTAAAAATTAAGCGCTCGCTGTGTTATGAATGTTACGCAAGTATCTACACACGACTCAAAAGCAGACAAAATAACAATCAGTCGTTTATAAAATCTGGTAAAAGTCATGTTCCAGGTTTCAATTAAGTGACTATATGTTTCTTATACGAAAGTGCATTTAGAATATTGTTTTTTAAAAAATCAAACGTCTTACAACTGGGGCTAATATTAATCAAAATAATACGAAAGCATATATACAAGTAAGTATATTCTAGGCTAAGATGGACCTATTTAAAAATAAACAAATAAATAAATTGTATTGAAATCCTGTCTTTTAATTGCAGGCATCCTTACGTAGGATAGATTCCCCACCCCCTTCCCTTCGAAGTAGGAACAAAATAAAAGTTTTGGATTTTGTTTGATATACTCCCGGAGAACAAACAGTTGTAATTATATTCTTATATCAAAGAGACACCGCAATGTTACAAAATTACTTAATATTACTGTGTTTCAGAGTCACCTAATTAATGTTTTCTTCATCCACCTTTCGTATTACACTGGACGCTTAATTACAGTGTATTTATTTTTTAATCTCTTGGACATACCCACTGTACTTGTTACAGTACTGTAACCCATCCTGTTTTCAGTGTTTCGAAACCTACCAGCGATGGAAAGAACAATTTAACTACAGTGTAACAGCTGGAATAAAATCGCTGTTATTCTTGTTTTTGCTTGATTTTTAACCCCCCCCCCCCATTACCACCAAAAAAAATACTCACACGGGACGTAAAACAACAACAAAACAAATACCATGTATACGGTAATTGGAATAACATTTTGTTCTCTCATTTGTAATATTGTCAAGAGACGAATAATGAATTTAGTTTACTGTCAGTTCACTTACCAAATAACATAAACAGTACACATTTAGTCAAAGTACTTACGGGAAACTGTGGACTGCATTCAGGAAATACAGAACACAAACCCAACACAACCGATACATGGTGAATCTTGGTGAAAAGTGGATGGTCGCCTATTCATTTACTCAAAGCTACTTATATCTTTCTGCGTTGTTGTAACAGCGGCGTGGATCAAAGGGAGTGTACTCCACAAGAGTTGAGATTATCTTGCTGTGTAATTATTCTGAGTTAAAACGGCTTCATGGAAAACACTCTGATTAAAATTAAACTTAATAACTCTAGTGATTAAGACTATTGAATAAAAAAATAAATTAGAAATTGACTAAGTACCCCCCCCCCCCCAACCCCCAATGTTTGAATTTAGCTTTATAACTTTTATATATATCAAGATACAAGTGAATACAGACAATAAAATGTTCAATGAGAAGTGGGTAGAAACCTTATCATCGTAAATAGATACATAAAGTAAATACATGTTCTGTGTTGAGAGAGAGAGAGAGAGAGAATTTTATATAACCCAAAACTATATTTATTTCAGAAAAAAGATCCTTTTTAAAGCCAGAGTGGATGTCAAAAGGGACACAATTTGCATTCAGGGCCTCTGAGTATGAAACGTAATTAAACTTCTGAACCACATATGATAATGCTTTATGGGTTATAAATTAAATATTGCTTTTTTTAAGTTTATCAAAATGAAACCTGGCATAATCAATTAGAAAATGACTTTTATCCTCTGTACACTGCTTTGATTCACTTGGAGGATAACGGTGCACGGGTTTGTTCCCGTTTTGCACAGAGTTTACTGCGATAAGGATATTTGTCTAAATTATAAATCAACTTCATCTTTGAACAGTTGGGTTAGACAAGTTAAATTTTTTCAAAATTTATTCTTTTAAAAATATAATGCATTGGTAAAATACAGACAATTCTGGGTAAATCCCTGAGCTGAACTGAATTTATTAATCTCTTCACAATTTTACAATTGTATACAGAGATAAAAATGTAAACAATGATGACATATAAAAACAAAATTTTAGCATGCGTGAGTATGAGGATAGACAAATAGTACAATTATAGATATAGATCTTTACTAATTCGGGGAGCACGTTTCAGTAATTTTTCTAATGAATGTACACAGTTTTCTTAAAAAAAAGATTGTTTTTCTGAATTCATTATTTCTCTGAATGTAATTGTATTTTTAAACCGTAATTGTTTATGCGATAAACATTTATTTCTTTCGTGTATCACTAACTTACAGTTTAATATGTAATGGAATTCATCGCTTATTTCATTTAAATGACTTTTTTTTTTTTTTACATAGTCTCGTTTCTCTTGGTTCATTTAGCCAGCGTCCACTTTCAATCGGTAAATAATGATTACAAGTGCAAAATTTGCAGAAATTAATGGCATTTTTTCGGGATAGAATATCCAAGTATTTTTCAAATTTTAGTTTGTCTTTGTATATTCTGTAATTTAGAGTCTTTGAAAAGTTTTGAACATCCGAATTCCATTTTTGTTTAAATTGATCAAGTAAAGTAAGTTTTACTTTCGATCTCAACCAATTTGGATTAAAGGTTTGACTTTGCCAAATATTTGAAAGTCCACAATTATTTAAAATATTCAAGACATTATTTATCCACGCAATCTTCGTATTTTGATTTACGATATCACTTAATTTGAACAGTAGGCTTGATATTTTTGTTTCCTTTCCAAGTTTAAGTTTGCACCAATATGAAATAATACGCATTTGTATTTCAATGGACATGCACCATACAGTCCGGAGTAGATTGTTTAAGTTAAGAAGTACTTTACAAAATTTTAGATGTACTCTGTCTACAGTTGCATTGTTCGAGAATCCCTATACTTCACATCCATACAGCAATATAGGCTGAACAAGTTTATCGAACAGGGGGTCGTAACATAAAGGGTACTTAGGTCTAAGACCATGCTTAAGTAGGACTTAAGAACAGTCTTAAACTTAAGACCGTAACTAGAAACGTGCTAAGATTTGACAATCTTAACAAAACTTAGGCGGCCGGTAGAGGTGACTTAAGTATGTCTTAACTTTCTTAAACATATATTTAGAACTATTTATGGTTGACTTTCAACGTCAAAAACATTCCTCTATTTATATTATGCATTAAAAATAATTTTCTATATTTAATATACTGGTATAAGAATTTTAGTTTTTCGTCGGGGGGGGGGGGAGTATTCATCACTGATTCCAATATCGCTCTCTAAATGACATATACATGTAAATGCAAAATACTATTTTTGGGATACGTTTGAAATATTAATGGGACCTAGGTTATAAACACTAATCATTATAAGTAAATTGTATACAGTAATGGATTTGTTTGTTCACCGTGAAAAAATGAGATGAAATGATTTTAAAAATTGTTGGTGAATTAAAGGATGATGACAAGAAAACAAATAAAAATTTTCTGTAAATTAGATTGAATGTAGAACGCAACAAGCGAGGATTCACACAGGATTCACTTCCGTTCACTAACGTTTCAGAGAGAGAGAGATTGTTGATAAGTTGGAGATGTACGAAAAATTATTTTCTGAAAACAATTCTTTTCCATCCTTCATTAAATTGTAAATAAGTATATCATAAAACGTCTGCAGTCTCTGCTTGCTGATATGGGAGGGGAAAAAAAATCAAAATGTCCCTATTATTTTGCACTTTTTTTATTAGAGTTTTCAATTTCAAGTACATAGACGTTCGGTTATCATGCCATGTCTGCGAGAATGACAATTTGAAAGCAAGTGAACATTTGTCAAACGAAAGAATAACAAAATAACAACAAACGGTAAATTGAAAACATCGCAGTCTCGAGTGATAAACAATATTCACGCATTTACAACGAACAATTTAGTGCCACTTTGTGACCGTGCAATATTTGTTTTCAAATAATACATTGTATTTCGAATAATTTAAACAGAATTAACTTTAATTAAATACGAAATCTAATCTAACCTAGCTAAAACCGATAGGTAAGGACGTCAGCTTTAAATCATTTTTCATGTTACGGTTTTTAAAGACATACTTAAGTAGTACTTAGGTAGGTCTTAAGATTGCACCTAAAACATACTTATTTTCTACTTCACTCCGTTGATCCGCAAATAAAACATTTCTTTTCTGATCCATAATAAAAAACCAAGAACATAATATTAATTTACAGTGTTTATTAGATATGAGTCGTGTACTCAGCTCTGATTTAACATAATAATTCTCGTAATCCTCCCTATAATATATGTCACAGGGTGAATTATAATTAATTAATTAATATTACTAATTATCATTCATATCATATTCATACATTTGTCTAAGGCATTATATTACTATAGTAACCAGTGAATTCCGTTCTCACTACGGAATTTACTACGTTCATTCATTTATACGGGTGAGTGGTCAGTGAGAGTACGGGTGTGTGAGTGGTCAAACTGGTTTTATTCTGTCCCCTGCGCATTCGCGCCAATACTAATTCTCAAGCACTCCAACCTAAGACTTTGGGGAGGGAAGACGCTCTCTCTCCCCAACACAACTTTATCTCACGATAATTGTGAACTCTGTCTAGGATTTACGTTCACCCTTCCTTCTATGTTATAAAATTCCATAATCGTAGAATATATATTAAACATCGAACCCAGCAGTGACATATACAATATTAAAATATTTATATAAAGTCTTCTTGGTCTCGTGGAGTGAATTATTTTTAATACTTTTACTAGCGATGTACAAGATAAATACTGTTATAAGTACATGTACCTTTAATATACAATACAAATGTATTATACCCTGAGAAATTCTTTTAATAAAAATTATACTGCAAATTCTGTACATTCAAAAATGAAATAGAAAATATATTATAAACAACTTATAAATGAACTGAACCCCCTAAAAAATCGTGTTCGATATCAATGTTCATGGTATTATTTGCTATTTATAGCTGAGTACTAACTCGAATAGCCAATACGCCCTAAGACCGGATTTAAATACCCTTGACCTAAGCACACAGAAATAAGTGCGCAAAAAACTTTACGCTTAACATGTACAAATATTATGAAAACGGAAAGAAATTTAATTATGACCCTACTTAAGTCAAAAACATAGCAAGCTTTATGTTACGACCCCCAGGTCTAACTGACACCGTATTGATAGATTATGTAAGCGGCCTTTCTTAAGAATTTCAAATATTGCCTTATTTGCTTTATCGACTTGTTTCTGTTTTGCTTCTTTGAATGAACCCGATGCGCTAAATAAAATACCTAAATAATTAATTTCATTTACAACTTCAATAAGCTGTTTGCCGTATTTAAATTCAGGTTTTTCTTTTTTCTTCCCTTTACTTATTATCAAAACCTTTGTTTTGTTAATATTTATCTTCAAATCCCATTTTCTGCAATATTTTTCAAAACAATTAATTTTTGCTTGTAAGTGTTCAGCAGATCCCAGACGGAGATCAGACTATAATTGATATCGAAACAACACCTACATGTATTGTTCTATACCTAATTATCAAATGTGTGCAAAACGGGAACACACCGGTGCATGATTTGATTCACAGAATAACTGGCATGTATTTACTTATGATGATTGGGTCTACATCCAGTTATGGAGAAGACATATACTTATAGACAGTGCCTTTTGCCCAAACCAACTTTGTTCCGTACATAATAAAATATTGTTTAATTTTAAAATGTTTTAAATGTTAGATTTAAATTAAATTAAAACAACAAATTAAACAGATTAAAGTCCATTACACTTTTTAACAATCTGAAACAAGAATAACACCCAATAGTTTTGTAAATTTATTTAGTATCAACATAGACTTATAAAGTAAAAAAGTACTCAATGTGAATTAAAACCAGTATAAAATAAAATCAGTATAAAACCAGTATAAAACCAAAGATAATAAATAACAACAGAATTCATAAAGTTTGACTTAGAATTGATTGAAAAAAAATTGAATGAAAATGCTGACTGGAAAATAATTTTGTTGTTGTTGTGAGGAACCATTTGTTAATTATATATTGACATGAAAAGTTCGAACAAAATATTGTAGGAAAACATAAAAACAATAACATAAACATCTGCAAAGCTGACATATGCAACATAATTTTTATAAAGCATTCTTGTGTAAGGAGTGAAAAATACCGAGTCACATCAAATATTTGAAAACTATATTTTTTGCAGAAATAAATCTTAAACTTAATTCTTGTACATGTATTTCATACTTAGCTTTCAAATTTTCAATACAGAAAACCAATATATTTTATTAAACAGACTTTCTTCTGAAAAAGTTGCCACCTTTGACTGTTTGAGATACAATCCATAAATTTCATAATAATATAAAGAATTTTGGAAAATAATATAATGAAAGATTGTTGAGTGCTCTAATTGTGCTAAACCATTTTGATCCCCAAAATTTTGAATTTTGAATCCCTCTCCCAGCCCCCTCCCCTCCCTTTCTACCCATACCCCCTCCCTAAACCCATCTACCCACCCCCCATCCCAGCTCAGTTGAGGAAAATTTAGAGGTAAGAGCCCTCGATCTGTCTCTCAAGCTCTACCTATCTACTCCCACCCCCTCCCAGCTCCTCAAGAAAACTGACACCCCACCAATCACATCTCACAGGAATCTGCAAAATGTGAATGAAGGGTGACAATCTCATGAGAGCTTCATACCTACCAAATATAACCCCCCACCCCACCCACTTCCTCAACCTTACTCCCCCCTCCCTGCCTAACCAAGACGGGGGGTGACAGCCGCTGCGTGTTCGGCTGTCACCCTAGGTGCAAGAGTACGGCTAATCCTTAACAAAATGGCCTAAATATATGAAGTGAAGACTGACACAGCGGTTAGCTGTATCAGCCAGGTGTGAGGCATGCAGGGTTCAGCTGCATGCCTCTCCCGGATGGAGAAGATACCCCCTACCCATACCCAGGCACCCTCTCCTCACCACCCCCATCCCACACAGACCTACACTTATGCCCACTGCTTGCGGCCTAACAAAAGATACGGAGGCACATTGTTAGGGTTTTTTGATCCCTAACAATGTGCCCTTGGTAAAAAGGTGTGGCTAATCCTTATCTTTAATCCCAAATCAAAACTTTAACCTTATCCTGCGGAGATGTAGACTAATAACCTTTGATCTGTCTCTCCAGCTATTAATCTGTGATAATAGAAATGCCAAAAAACCCCTCCCCAACCAACCTGACTGCCCCTCCCACCTCCCTCCAAACCCCCCATATTTCAGTGTAGTATGACAAAGGTGACAATATATAGTAAGATAGATGTAAAGTGAACATAGAACAGAAAAATATTTGGAAAATGACTCAGTTACATAAAAGCTAGTTCTCAAAAAAATATATGTTTATACATTTAAACTCATACTTAAAACAGGATGACTTAACATTTCAGGATCTTTTCCCTAATGCTGAAGACATTCAACGTTCATGATATTGTGTACAGTTGTGGCATAAAGAATAACATTTTTTCACTGAAACAAAATGTGTTTTGGAAATGAACAACATTGTAGATCTCAAAATTGAAAAAAAAAAAATGTCAATATATTGGCATGTGTGATAATCATTCTATAAAGCAGAAAGTTCAAGATATAAAAAAAATGAATACAAAAATCAGAAATCAAACACAACAACATTATAAAAAACTTTGAGAAAATTGTGTGGAAAAAGCAATATGTTTGACATTGTCCATGATAGCACCATATCAGAAATAAATCATAACTCAGCACAGTGAGTATTTGAGAAAACAAATAATCTGGGTAAATTAAATATCTAGCATCTATTTTCACCACAAGCTGATACTAGTAATTGAAATTTCTTTGGCACTTAAAATACTTGGAGTATACAAATACAGTGGCATTTGATCTCAACATATTCATAAGGCAGGTTTATAAATAGAATTTTAAATATATATACAAGCTAGTACAAAAAGATGAAAATATGTATTCACAGTAGTAAAGGTGAGGTAAAAATCAGCTTATACATCAGAAATATTGCACACATTAAAAATATATACATACAAAATAGCAGATATGTCATACCTCTTCCTCCCCTCAAGTTGCAACATACCTTTCCAATGGCTTAAAAACATTGATGGTAAAAATTGCTTTGGTTAAAAAAATTGATACAAAACCCATTTAAAGACCTTTTGAAAATCATGTCCCCCTAGAAAATTCCAAAAAAAAAAAAGAAAAAAAAAAAAAGAAAACCTCAAAAAAGATTCCTAAAGTATTGAAATGCTGCCAATTTAACATAATAAAAAAATAACTGGATAAAACAAAAGTAATTGTAGTTATGAATTCTGAGGCCATCTAGTCATTCCTCCTGTAGAGGTTCATCTTGACATTGCCTAAATCTGGCAGAACTTTAGGGGGTTTGTTGTTGACCTTTCCTGGCTTTTTGAAGGTATTGGCATACTCAGGGCCAGCTTTTTTGGCTATCATCTTGTTGTTCTTCATATCAGGAAGGAGGGCAGCCCCTGTCATCTTGGCACGGAGTTTGGCATTGCTTTGTGCAGCAGCATCACTTGTTTTGGGTCCCATCCCCTTCTGGCCACAGATCACTGGTATGGAAACTTCTTTTGGCTTTCCCTGGCACAGTGCTGCTCTTTCTTGGTCAAATGGCATTTCAACTTTCATCACAGCAGCCGGAATTTTTCTGCATAACCTGTTTCCTTGTACTTTACCACGATGTAAACCAGTTTCTTCCTGTTTAGGTAGATCCAGAATTGGAACAATCGGGTCTGGTTTTGGTCTTAAGATTTTTGGCTTTGTTCTAGATGGAATACCTGCCATGGCCTTCAGTGAATCAAACTCAGCCTCCAGCATATTGATCTGATGACAAACGATTGCCTCCTGCTCAACAAGCCTCTGGTATAAATGGATATCCTGTTGAATAACTGCCCGGGCTTGTTCTGGACAGCCAGCAGATCTAGCAGCCTGTTCCATGGAGCTTATCTTTTGTACCTGGATATTCTTCCGTATGGTCAGTTCCTGGTGGTACTTCTTCACTGCATCCAGATGTTTCTGGCCCTCCTCCACCTTCAGGTTTCTTTGCCTTGTTCCTTCCTGAATTCTCATCATCAGCTTGTTGCTGTCTTTAGCTTCCAGTCTCAGCTTTTCAATATCAGCATCATACTTCTTTGGAGCAAATTTATCCAAGAATTCCGAGACCCTATGATTATTTAGAAAAAATAAAATAAAGTTATGGAATATGATGAAATCATTATAGTCCTTAGCTTTGTACAAATGTTCAGATTTTATATTTGATTAAATAATAATGATTAAAAAAAGACAATTTAATTGAACACCGGGACAATTGTAATGTACTACATGTATTTCTTATTTAATAATCAACTTACTCATCCTTTTGGGTCCAGGCTGAAGCCATCTTTCTATCACCAGTGGATTTCTCAGCTTTAATATAGATAATTAAGAATTAATTGAAGATCTTATATAAATATACACTATCTCTCAGTACACTGAGTTTAATATCTCTTCTCAGAATGAGATTGTTGCATTTCACATTTTAATGAAGTATGTGTTTGCCTCCTACATCTGTGTAGACAACAGACAGCAAATTATTTGCTCCTTTTAAGTTTCATTAAGTATATTTTAAAAATATTTTGAAGTGTCTGTCTTGTGTTGACTTACCTTTCATTTTCATATTCTTTTTGTGAGAGGTGTCCCCTGCTGCTGTTTTATTTTTAACTTTCTCTTTGGTAGTATCTTTGATTGCCTTGCTAGCTGTGGGTTGTGGACCTTCATTTTTAACTGATGGTGAGCCAGGTGGTGTGGTTTCAATGACCAAAGTTTCCTCCACAAAGGCATAGATCTTCTGCTCAAGCTTAAAGGCAGATTTTTCAGCAACTGGGACTATAGCTACAGATTGGAAGTCTCTGGGTGTCTCCATCCATTCAATAGTAGAGATGTCACTGGTGACCTCAAAATTGTCTAGAGGCTGATCATGTGGTTTCAAAAACTTTGGTTTTGTGGCAACTGAGACATCAGCTAAAGCATCTTTTGGTGCTTCTATTGCAGAGTCAGGTATGGTACTTACTGGTCTGACATTATCTGAGGACTGGATATCCTTCTTAATGACAGGTTTTTCTGCATAAGAGGTGACAGTTTGTTTGTTCTTATGTGTTTCCATGTACTGGTTACTGGGAGATATGTCAACTTTCGGATCATCTGCTTGCTGAACATCTGTCAACTGGAGTTCTGTGTTCTTTGTTTCATCCAGGCGTGTCTTGGACTCCAATGTTGCCAATAATTCAGTTGGTGTTAAGATCCTTTCAACAAGGCTACTGTCAGAAATAGAGCATAGTGGCTCCAGATGAGTAGGAGATACCACCCCTATTGGAGAGATGTCCTCAGGTGAGAAGAACACATCATTTAACAGCTTCCTGTCTGTCTCAGGTGTCAGAACTCTTGGACTCAAGATAATGTTTTCTTCAAATGCTCCAAATGCTTTCTTTGGAGTATAGTTTTTCAACAGTTTCTCTGCAGAGATATTTTTGAATTGAAGAGGAGAACGGTTTTCTTTGTTAACATTTAGAATTTCATCTGGTGGCTTCCTTTTTTCTTTTTCCTTTGCCTGAGCTTCCAGAAGTTTGATTCTCTCAGTGAAACCAAGAGGTTTCTTGATATCACGCTCCCGGTCAGTGCACACAAAAGCTTTATTCACAACAGGTGCAGCATTGTATGAATCAAAACTTGAGTCTTTGAATTGCTTCTTTTTCTTTTCCTTTGCCTGGGCCTCAAGAAGTTTAATTCTGTCAGTAAGACCAAGAGGGGTTGCAAATTTGGTCTCTTTCACATCATTATTCAGCATTGACTGATTGATAGATGGATGAGACTCAATAACTTGAATTTGTTCACTGAAGGTGACAGATCGGTTCATCTGCCTTGCTTTATTTACATCATAAATGGGTTTTTGGCTCATCAAATTTTGTTGATGAGGTTTAGCCACAGGTTTCCTTACTGGTTGCTTTCCAACTCCTGCAACATTCATTAATGGGGCTTTTTTGGCTCCAGGAAGTGTTGAATCTAGGATCCTCTGCATCTCTGGGTCTGGGATTTTTGGAATGCTGGACCTCATGAGTTTGCCATAGACTGGGACTCTAATTATCTTAGGAGGTTCAGGTACAGCATACCCATGTTTATCATCAAGTGTAAGCAGTTTGTTGTGGATCTTTGGTCTTTGCAGAGGAGTGTAAGGTTGCATTGGAAACCTGGCCTTTGCAAAAGAATCATTTGTACTGGCTGCTGCAATGTTACTAGATGCTGAAATATAGATTTAAAAATATGTATCATATGTCAGCTTAAAACATTTTCTTAAAAACGTTTCGAGTTTATTATGATGTAAAAGCTTAGCTAAGAAGACAACAAACAAAATTTATAAATACCAATTGCAATTGTCTGGTTTGTGGAAGGTGACTGTCTTCCTCCAAACTTGTCTGACTTAGCTTCAAAGAAATCGACTGATCCCGGGGTGCTGGCAATTGGCACAGGGGTGGGGAAGGTTCCAGCTCTCTGTGGGGTAGGGGGATCCATGAACTCTATGGTATTGACAGACACTTGTCTTATGTTCCTCACTGTTTTAACAAAAATAAAAAGTATAAGAATTTCAGTGGATCAAGATACACAGGGGAGAAATGGACTGGGATTCCTAGAAAATTTCTTTGAGTTCTGATCAGGTAAAAGGTTGCAGTGAACAATAAACAAGAGGCCCATGGGCCACATCACTCACCTGAGTAACTTTGGCCATGCTATTCTTTACCAGATTTCCCCCTTGTAATACTTACTGTGGCCCAGCCCTATCCCCCGGGGGTCATGATTTTTACAATTTAAAATCTACACTATCCCAGGATGCATCCAAATAAGTTTCAGTTTTTCTGGCCTAGTTGTTCTTGAGAAGAAGATTTTTAAAGATTTTTCTTACATATTTCAATGTAAAATTTGGATTCCCTATTGTCAGTCTTCACCAAATCTTTTTTTCAGTACATGCCCTTCGGGCAGGTTTAACCACTTATTAAGCTAGCCCGAACAAATATTTACATGCCCAGAATTTTATCAAGTAATTTTATTCTTATTTGCCTTTTCATGCCAAGGAAATGATCCAAAATCCATTTCTATAGATCTATTGTCTCGCCATTAAAATTGTTTTCAACCTATACACTTTTTGTGTCTCCTTTGCAAAAGAGTTCTTTGGAAATCGCGGTAGAATAAACTATCGTTAATATTTTATTTGGTGCTCCACTTTAGATGAAAAATCAGACTTTTAAGTACATTTAATGTTATTGGTATTATTTAAGTTGATAATAAGGAGGCTTAGGCCTCAGATTTTACATGCCCTTTGGGCTTGTAAGTATGCAATTTCCACATGCCCGCTTCCAATTTTACCAGGTCCCGGGCTTCGGACTCCCGGGATTTGTCGAAGACTGTATTGTGGCCCCGCCCTACCCCCGGGGGTCATGATTTTTACAATCTAGCATCTACACTACCCCAGGATGCTTCCACATAAGTTTCAGTTTTTCTGGCCTAGTGGTTCTTGAGAAGAAGATTTTTACAGATTTTTCTTACATATATTTCAATGTAAAACTTGGATTCCCTATTGTGGCCCCACCTACCCCCGGGGTCATAATTTGAACTATTTAGAATCTACATATCCTAGGATGCTTCCACATAAATTTTTATCTTTTCTGGCCCAGTGGTTCTTGAGAAGAAGATATTTAAAGATTTTTCCTATTTATTTCAATGTAAAATTTGGATTTTCTATTGTGGCCCCGCCCTACCACGGGGGTCATGATTTTTACAATTAAGAATCTACACTACCCCAGAATGCTTCCACATAAGTTTCAGTTTTTCTGGCCTAGTTGTTCTTGAGAAAAAGATTTTTAAAGATTTTTCTTACATATATTTCAATGTAAAACTTGGATTCCCTATTGTGGCCCCGCCCTACCCCTGGGGGTCATGATTTGAACAATTTAAAATCTACACTATCCTAGGATGCTCCCATATAAGTTTCGGCTTTTTTGGCCCAGTGGTTCTTGAGAAGAAGATTTTTAATGACCCCATCCTATTTTTGTCTTTTCTTGATTATCTCCCCTTGTAAGGGGACTTGGCCCTTTATTTTAACAATTTAAACTCCCCTTCACCCAAGGATACTTTGTACCAAGTTTGGTTAAAATTGGCCCAGTGGTTCTTGAGAAGAAGTTGAAAATGTGAAAAGTTTACAGATGGACGGACGGACAGACAGACGGACGGACGGACAACGGGTGATCAGAAAAGCTCACTTGAGCTTTCAGCTCAGGTGAGCTAAAAAGAGCATAAGTTAGTACATTTTGTTGCAGTTTAATATATTACTTGTATATTAACAAATATGTGAATTTCAGCTTACATGAATTATCCTGTTGTGGAAAGCTTTCTTGGGACTGATTTGAGAGGATCTCATTCAGAGAAACTGAACTGGAATAAGTGGTGGACATGTCTGACTTGACATCTCCTGACCCTAAAACATGCACATATATCTCAGATGAATTGCAATTAGAGATCTACCATACATGTAATTAATTTCATTAGAGTAAACATATCGTTTGTGTAGGTCATTACTAAAATTATCACTTACCTGTTTTCTTGCAACAGGGAATTCTGTTATTTTCTTTCATAATTCTGTGGGTGAAAGGATAAACATGATCATAAAATTATTAAAATTAAAAGGAATTAACAGTTTCCATAAATTTCTACAAAGATATTTTTATACCTGGGACATATTTTTATACTTGGGACATTAAAACGTTTTTATGCAAGTACAGCAATTTCAAAGGTGTTTGTGTAGGGGGGAGGGGGGGGGGGGGCAAAGGGAAAATATGTCACAAAGGTTATTGCATATGATATTAAAGGATAAAATTTAAGATATGCTGATCCTCATCAACCATTAATGCGCTTCAAATCTGATAGACTGAACTAAAATAATAGATAAACAGGTAATGATTATGAAAGCTGCATGCTACTGCACTTCGTAGTCAATATAGAACAACACGGCGTACAATCAATCTGAATCAAATTGTATACTACAGATAAAGCATAGGCCTTGCGTCGCCAATATGAAATATGAAACATGAAATTGATCTTGTACAACACTATACAACGTTTACTTACAAAAAATGACTTTTTTCCACCGCAAAATAACTCGATTACGAAGAGTGAATTCATAAGATGGCGCCAACATTTACTTCGCCGTTACGAACAACAACGTTGCTCTTGGTAACAGACGAGAATGTGGCCACCTAGCGGCGATAAGTGTTGGGCGGAAGTAAAACAAAATATTTGTTTTGACCCCCCCTTTTTCAATATCATAAATAATTCATAGTAATATAATATACACAATAGGCAAATATTAGAGGAGGAAGGGGAGCGGCCCATCGTTCCTCATTAAGGTGGATTTAATGGGCAGCATTCAGTAGTCAGCAAAACCAATCAATAAACCCTAAAATACATGACTTTTATAAACGAGCATTTCAGTTAAAAAAAAGATAAAATATTTATAACTAAGTATGGATTACAAAATTAGACAGTATTTCATATTTATTTTAAAAACAATAATGATCAAATGGGGTACCGACTCACGCGATACATAGTAACATACTCATAGACCCCCGACATTACACTTGTAGATAAGTGTCTCTCTGTTAGCCCTCTTAATTAAATAGAACCGTAAAAAAATACAATGGGAAGTAATACACATTTAGATACAACATCAACTCCTAATCAAAATCAAGTCAAATATCATTTGTATTGTAAAAAAGTGGTTACTTACATACAAAAGTAAATTTGAAGGATGGCGCCAACATTTACTTTGCCGTTACGAACAACACTGTCGTTCTTGGCAACAGACGAGAATTTGGCCATCTAGCGGCGATAAGTTTGAACGGAAGTAAATAGTGGCGTTACCTCCCCTTGTTTCCAGTCAGGATTTTCATGAACGAAATTCATGGTAGTTAAAAATGTCTCCAAATTTTGCAAATGTGTGTACAGATTTACATGTAAGTCTTATATTTAACTGAGTATTTACATGTAAGCGTATTGGAGATTGACACACACAGTATATAATATTGTAGGACAGGGTTTGTGTTGTTTTGTGTAAGGGGGGGGGGGCGTGGTTCAAAACTTTTAAAAGCTTACAGAAAGTCAGATATGCCGACAACCTTTCCTACATGTAGTAGTCGTTGGTCTTTCGTTTAAAAGTCAATAAACTTTCTAGCAACTTTCAAGGGAAATGTATGACTGCTTAGCAAAGAAACTATGTTTGTACAAGATATAGGAAACTCATTTTTACTAATTAAAAGATTAAGGGTCTTAAGTATTTTTAGACGTTTTGGAAAACCCTAATTTAAAAAAAATGTGACAGGGTCTCTTCACAAATCTGCCTATCTCCCCTCCCCCTTACCTTTCCTTTTTCAACTTTATATCCTGTCATTTACCATACCCCTTCGCGGATAAAATTGTAGCTGGTGACTGAAATTAAACAAGGTGGTATGAATTAAGTACTCACAATTGCTGTTTGTATCCGCCCTTAGATTAATCTCAAATTTTCAGGGCACACAGTTTGAAGATTGGCGCCAACATTTACTTCTTGGTCGCGAAGAAATGAGTTGATCTTGACAACAGACGAAGGCCACCTAGTGGTGAAAGAGCTAAATTTATCTCCCTTTCTTGGCGCTCTTCAGATTTTGAAGAACATAAATAGTCATACTCTTCAAGTTCAAGGCCGAGGCAGATAAAGCCACATTGAATTTTGGCGCTACATCCACATATTATCTTCCAAAGATGTCAAAGAAAGGAAATAAAGATTCCCAAAGATCGGATACGCTACAAAAGGTATGTCTTTTATGTCTGTTCAGTTTTTCATAGCTACGGATAGACTGGTAACAAAGAAAGGTCTATTTATCTTCACCGTCTCAGAGCAAAAGCAATCACGAATACAGTCTATGACATATGGGATATTCTTTGTTGTAAACAAAATAAAGCCTTATTCTTGAAGTAACATTGAAGTTAAGTTCTATTTCAAAAGCATTCCTTTTCAGAAATTCAGATTCAATGTAATATGTATTTGCTTAATTATCTCATTATTTTTCCGAATTTGTTCTACTAGATCAGAGACATGTCTATTAGCGTGTTATAATATTTATTGATCAAACTATATACACAAAAAGTGATATTTTGAAAAAAAAATTGCTGCTTAGAAGTTTAAAAATCACTTTCAATTTTACCATAATTTGAAAGAATTATTATTCCCCAGTGAAATGATATATAGTATGTAATAATTATTGAAAATCAAGTCCACAAAAATAAATATAACATGATAATAGGATATTGGGTAAATCTTCTGCATCATAAACATCCTTCATGTCAAAACCTTCAAAATCCAATTCTGAGTCACCTCCATCTAGTTCTTGAAATTGTCTGTTTCAACAGGTCTAGGCGGCCTCTGTTTTTGGAGGATAGATTTTGGAGGATAGCGGTCTTGCCACTTACCATAATTTTCAAAACTAAGGACAGTTAACTCTTAACCTAACAAATAACAGCAACTCTTGCATTTTTGAACCGTACGCTGACTTCGAAATCAAAACAAATAAAAGGTACAATTTCATATGATGATGGATAATTCCAGATATTAAATCAATATAACTATATTTTTGTAATTTGCCATCAATTAGTTATTCGGTATACAGCTTGGAAAACAAATATTGCACTTACCTGCCTGTGACTGAGGTTAATTATAACCACGCTGATTTTCCAGTACCGTATTTATGTGATAAGCAGTTTAGAAATTTTGATAAACAATTTTTTTGGAAAAATTAATTTTAATCATTTATTATTTCTTTCATTTAATAATTCTTAAGCACATCACTTTGTAATATTTTATTTGTTTATGTATACACATGGCTGTATGAATATATGTTAATTTCTTAGTAAACATGCTAAATTATTTATTTTATTTACTTATGCTATTCAAATTATTTATTTATTTTTATAATTATTCATTCAATCCATTTATATTTTTATTTGCTTAAATTATAAGGCTGAGTATATTTTGCGTTTTAAATACGCTTAAAATGTGTTTCATTTTTTTTTGAATTAAAAGAAAATAGAAAAGAAATATTAAAGTCCTTTTTTATTTGTCTAAATAGGGAAAATCATAAAAAATGAAACAAAATAACAAGAAATATTCAGTATTTATGGAGCGCAAAAAGTGCTAACTTTGAAAATAAATTGCAAAATATCTAGACATAGAATCTCAAATCGCCACATACAATCGATAGTTTAATGTTTGAACTTTTATTTGCATGTACTCTGGTGCTTGCACTTTTTGATTAAAGGTAGGCACGAGGCGTTTGAAAATTACCTGTCTTATCCTCTAAAATCGGAGGATAAACTATCCCACAATGCAATGCGGTTTCCATATATGGTAAAAATTTTGGCCGCCATATTGAATTTAGCTATCCTCCAAAAACGGAGGCCGCCCAGACCTGTTCAATGACCAACCTATGGGGCGACTGAGGCGAAATAGTCGCTTTTGAGCTCCAAACTTTGCCGTATATTATCACAAAAGAGAAGTTTAAGTCGCCTTAATATTTGCAACCCCATTATTGAAAATCGAAAAAAAAATCTCCCGGTATTAAGAAATGTGGTAGTATCGTCACTATTTTATAAATCTGGTGTTATTACTGATGAAATAAAGTGAAACAGCAGGGCACTTGCACTTGTTTTGCTACTTATAACCAATGCATCGAATACTCTGTCGGAACTACTCTAGCATTTACGCTTCCGTGTATGAAAAAGTCCATTGTTCCAAGTTATAACAAGACGCAAAACAGCTGGACGGCTATCGATGTCATGCCAAAGATGTTGGAGATGATTTTAGATCTTTTTATTGTCAAATAATTAATACATGCTGTGAATACAGACATATCTTTACTGTTAAATTGTGGAGTTATTAACTGTCTAAGAAATTTCACATGTCTGATAAACATAAGTAGTGCAGTCGTCATGCAGTAGTGCATCAAAACGTTTTTTAGAGAATTTAATATTGAAAACGAATTTTGAAAAGAAATCAACAAAATTATGACTATGCCAATTAAGAGCCTGAAAATCTAACCCTGAGAGGAGACAAAAACGTGTGAATCATTTAAAAGTGAATTGTGCATACTATTATGCAAGAAATGAAAAAAAAAGTTTGATTAACAAGTTAATCAATTAGAAACTTTTACATTGTCATTGTTTTATATATTTTGCTAGATATTTAGATACCTTTTAATTGGAAAAATATGAAGTTTTGTTTAAAGAATATTTTTAATTATTTTTACTAGGATGTTTAAATAATACAGAAAAAATTATTGAAATGTATTTATATAGTAAGCAATGAATTTTTTTTTATTTTTAAAAAGTTTAATAATGATCATTTTGTGCCACGCGCGCCAAGAAGTCTCCCTAGAATTCAAAACTTCTCCCTACATTTCTCTGAGGGAGAAGTGAAGTCTCCCTAAATTTTGGGTCTAGGTTGGTCCCTGCTGTTTACCTCATTTCTTCTCACCATGAGATCTGCCATATGGTGACAAATGATGTCTGTCTACCAAGAGTAAATTGTGAAAGATTTGCCCCATAGGTAGAAAATACTTTCGCTTTCTAAGAATAATGTTTTTGCTTTCAAACCACATCTTAGACCAATAAATTGGTCAAGGGTGATAAATTGAAAGGAAATAATTTTATCAGATGGATTAAATGGTCTGCAGTGTTAAAAGAGTTCATCACATGTATACAATCAACTTATAAATAAATCCCATAAAGAGACTGTCTTTTAATTATCATCTTTGCTAGCCAAGGGTTTCTGATACGCTACTCTCCTCATAAACCCTTGCCAAGGGCTCATGAGGAGAGTAGCGTATCAGAAACCCTTGGCTAGTGAAGATGTTTAATTACAGCTAAACTTCGAAATCTCGAACACGGATATCTCGAATACCCCAGATATGTCGAAGTATGGCCGTGGTCCCGACGAAATTTGCTTTATAAATGATTAAAATAAACCCCTCTATGTCGAACACGGTAATGTCGAATACCCCAGTTATCTCGAAGTAAAATTGTGTACCCATTCCTTAAAATCACACGCATTATCTTGAAGTTAGGGTAATTTTCCGCTCTGACGATCATGTCCGTTAGGTAAACTGACTGCTCTATTCATAACAGCCACCTGTCTGTCACGCACGGGTTACCTGTGTTTCTGTGAACAACAGATAATAGCGCGATAATTATACGACGTGTATGTAGGAATGGCTTACCTTGATTTTAATTATGCAAGCCAAAGGTTGTGTGTGTTATTAGTCTTATGCATACGTGTCGATGACACGTTAATTGTTTTGTGGCTGGGGTACGTTTATCTTGATAATCGCTATTTAATGCTATGTGTAATATGCGCGATTACATAGTTTATGCATAAGAAAGCGAAAATTATAAACATCAAAGTGAAACAAAATTCTGTAATTGAATGCAATTAGAATTTGTTTTTCCTATATGAGCTAGCAGAATTTACAATCGTCAGTACACACCATCATGTGAGCGTGTGTCATAGTAAAAACGTGCAATAGTGCCCTGTGATTCAGTGTTGTTCTGTTGTTAGACAAAAGTGTGTGTTTCTTCTTTTGCATTTGATTTTATTATGGTAAAATAATTTTCTTTTAACTGATTATTCATGTATGAACATGTTTTTTCAATTAAAAAAATGTATATTTCATTTTTGTTATTCTGACAGCAACCAGTTTTAAATTTACAATGCATAGACGATATCCGGTTAATATGTATACATGGGAAAGGTTGCTAGCAGTTGACTTGCCTGGTTGATAGAAGGATTATACTTCATTGCACATTATAAAAAGTTTTTATTTTGTGAATTATAAAGAGAATATAAAAATCTTTTTATTGCTAAATATATGTACGTTTGTATTGAAGAGAGCGTATACAGAATTTCAACCAAGTGGGAATTTGACATGTTTTTACTATTAAGTACATGTTCACTGCACTAAGTTTATCTGAAGTTCATTTGAATTATAACCCTCGATATGTCGAACCACCGGATATCTCAAAGTTCAGCAACGGTCCCGTCAACTTCGAGATAACGAAGTTTAACTGTATTAAAATAGTGTTTTATATAGCAGTGGTCTACTTATCACAATACTTTTCTATCAAAGCTTAATTCTTTTAATTAAAGAAATTTTGTTAAAAGAAATTTTGTTAAACACTTTAGAGCATATTGCTTAAATTTCTTTCTTATTTTTCAGGTTAAAGAGTTCAAGGACAACTTTAAAAAGGAGGTGCTATTTTAATGCATATAACACATGTAACAGTTGCAATAGACATTAAATCTTTTTCAGATTATTTTCACAGTGTCTGAATGTGTAAGGAAATTTATTCATTTTAATTAAAAAAACAACAACAACAACAAAAAAAAACCCCCAAAACATGCACCTGTTAACAATTAACAGGGGGGTTACTGGGGTTAGTAAACATCTCATTTTTTGGATGAATGTATAATGTAGAGAATATTTATAATTTTATATACTTCTCTTTTGCAGGGTGATCACTTAGTTCAGGATGTGTTTCCAGCCAAAATTTTAGAATTAGAAGAGCTGTATCAGGTAGATTTAGGAATACAATCTTTGTTTGATTGTCATACATTATAAAAGTTTTTTTCTATTATTATTTTTTTTAATTTTTAGCTCACCTGAGCCGAAGGCTCAAGTGAGCTTTTCTGATCACATTTTGTCTGGCGTCTGTCTATCTGTCTGTTTGTAAACTTTTCACAATTTCGACTTTTTCATGATTGGTCATATTTATATGGAAGCATCCTCAGGTAGTGTAGATTCAAGTTTGTTCAAATCATGACCCCCGGGGGTAGGGTGGGGCCACAATGGGGGAATAAAGTTTCTCATAGAAGTACAGACCCTGAAATGTGCTACTACCCCACACGCTCACTGCACGAACAGTACATGCTTGCTACACGGTTTGCATGAAACGCTGCACGGTTTACACGAAACGCTACATGATTTGCATGAAACGCCTAAACGACATGTTTCAAGGTTTACACGAAAGCCTGCACAAAACGCTTTGTACACGTTTCTCACACACTTTGTACACAATTCTCGCATGTTTAAGCCTCGATCTGGATTTTCTATTTGGAATCTCTCAGACTTTATTTAAATTAAGTAATTTACAGATTAATCAAAGATTAGTTAAGAATTGCAATCATTCAGATTAAATTAGGATTAGAAATCGCTACACCAGTACTATATTAACAGATAAAAATACACAATGTTAAGTTGTATTTTATTAATAGTATAGTTGTCAATGAGTATGTGAGGCTCCCCGTGAAATGCCTATCATCGTCTATGTACGAAACTTTTTCACTAGATTCTAAATTACACACAGAAAAAAATAATTATATTTGTAATTCATAATCTTTAACTACAGCATTCAATGTTTTTACAGTTATATTTGATATTAACAAACCGTTTTATTACTGACAAATAAACCCAGTTATTGATTTGAAAAAAAAAAATATTGATTAAATTGTGTATGATTTCTGTAAACGGATTGATTTTCTTTCCTTTCCTTTTTTTTTTTTTATTATTGATTGATTTATTCACCTTTTGATTTAGTAAACAAATACTTTCATTTGATTGAATTAGGTTCTGTTTATAATTTGCAAAGGTAATATGTACACTAAATCAAGAAGGAACATTGTGCAGGGGGGGGGGGGGTAGATTACCGAGACCTTACTTCTGTTCATGGCTAAATATAACTGGCACTTGTTTCAGTAAGTATACCATTGGGAAAAAATTATTATGGAAACAAATGCTCGTTCTAAGAAAAAAAGATATCCATATCTCCAGCGGGACCTGATACATGTAATTCATTAACTGCACTTTTATTAGAATGGTACATACATCGCTTCATTACAGAATCAAACTTTAACTTATCATTAAAATTCAATATGGTAGAGAAGCCAGGGGAATAGGTATTGTAATGCTTTAGTTCTCCATTTTGAGGCATTGTGTTTATCAAATAAAAACAATATACCCACTATCTTGTAAAATCCTTGATTTCAAATCCCGTCTAGACCAAAAAAGAATGTAATTAATAGTGGCGGCTCTTAAAAATACATTCAATATACATGAATACATGTCCAGTGTCCTAAAAACTAAAAAAAATATGCTCTAGAACTGCGTGATTAATAAAACAACTAATATATAATTACTCCGAATCTTTTCTTTATATTTTATTATTCATGAATACACTGGCAAATTAATTCACTGTTTGAAGAGAATCGGATAAATTTAAGAAATAAAATCCACGGGTATTTATTTTTACCCATTAAATACTAACACAACTATTAAATTTCATGAATTAAAAATCAATCGTTATTGTTGGGTGTCATCTTAGCCATGATTGACAAAAGAAAATACATGTACATGTAGCAGAACAAGTTTTCAGTTCCTGGCACCCGTGATCGCTGTTGTAAAATGACCTTGATCACAGTCGTAAGAAGAGTGTTGGAAGTGTAAAGAAGATTCCAATACATTTTTAAGGGGTGCATCACACGCACCCCGAAAAAAAACAATATTTTCTGTTAAGAAGAAAATTATCTATAAAAACATGTTAATAACAAAAACTCAAAGTTTGTGTTTACATTTGAACACCCCCCCTCCCCCCGGAAATATTTAACCTTGTATTTGCCGATGCATGTGAATTATGATTCATTTATAAGACAAATATTAATCAACCAATTTTATGCATAAAAAGACTATAAATGACTCATCGTTTAAATTTTTTTTTTTGTATCACAATCTTGTAATATAAGAAAATTATGTTCGTTTATAAAGAAAAAAAAAATTAATTGTGCTCCCCGACCTAGAATTCCCATACTTCACATTTATAGCAACGCAATAAACTTAATATTTTATATTTAACGCCTGCCTTATCTATTTATTATTTTGCATTAATCACCCATATGTTTTTGTAATATCTATATACTACAACTGTAAAATGGTGAAGAGATTCAAATAAATGAATGAAAAGGACAAGACCGGATTACTGATGATTTTTTTAAAACAATGTTCAGTATTGCTCCATTTAAAAAAATGTATTGAATCAAATATCTTAAAATTGATGTGCATATAATTAATTACTTTGAACATATTTCCTTTCCTTCTTTAATTAAATAAAATAAGAAAGAAAATCAAACAAATCTGTAATACATTACCGAGTAATTTTATTTTGTTGTTTCCATAGTTTTTTCTCTCTTAAAATACCATCGGTATAATATATTTGAATAATATTAGTTACAAACAACACAGAATGACATGTTGATCCATCAATAGCCATATTTAAAACAAAATGAGTTCCGAATGAATCCTACACATTTCTTACACGATTCTTGCACGAAAGTCGCATGTTTCTTACACGGTTCTTACATGAAAGTCGCACGTTTCTCACACGCTTCTCGCACGCTCGCTACACGGTTTGCACGAATCGCTTTGGAGCTTACACGAAACGCTGCACGGTTTACACGAAACGCTACCCGGTTTGCACGAAACGAAAAGCCCACGAAAGTCACACGCTTTTTTGGGGTAGTAGCACGTTTCAGGGTCTGTATATAGGAAAATATCTTTAAAAATCTTCTTCTTAAGATCAGCAAAGCCATGATTGGTCATATTTAATGGAAGTATCCTCAGGTAGTGTAGATTCAAGTTCTTCAAATCATGACCCCAGGGGGAAGGGTGGCTACACAATGGGGGATCAAAGTTTACATAGGAATACATAAGAAAAATCTTAAAATCTTCTTAAAGGGTTTTCATCACGTCTCAAAATTTTTTGATATGACAAAGTTTACATGCTATTAAAAGCATATATTTAAAAATCTTTGCTAGAAAATCGATATTTTGATCGCCGATGTTACGCGCCATTGCTCTGATGTCATAGGTGTCAATCCTGGTCAAGCGAAGTACTTATTGTGTATACAAAAGGGATCATTTGTTGTGTCTATTAAACCTGTCAGAAGATAATTAAGTGATAATCGAATAGTCGACAGCTTGTAAGGTATAATTTATGGCTTTATGGTGCACAAATGTGCACAAGAAAGGTTTTAGGAAGGATTTTTCCCCCACATTTCCTGGACTTGGTAGAGAGATTAAAGGGGGCCTTTCTCTGCAAATGCGATGGCGTTTATCTCCATTCATAACAATTGTTTATGCCCGATCGATCATATTTGAAATATTTTAAGGAAAGATACTTTTTAAAAAAAATGACAAACACGCATTCTTTAAAAGTCGCACAGAATCTAGTAGGAATGTTATGAACTTTGTAATGGCGTACGGCACCATTGAAGAAGTGTCATTTCTAGTACATGATATTCACTGCTAAAACAGATAGAAGATATATATACCGGATTTATTTATTTATAATTAATTAAAATAATAATGAAGGAGAATTTAAAATTCCCATATTTATAAATGTTTACGAAGTTAAACTTTAGTAATTCGTTCTATGCAGTTGAAGTCCTGAGTTGTCAACAGCTTCGTCTTCGATGATCTCTCTCCAATTGTCGGCATATTTTCTGGTTATTTCTCTCTGCTTAACGTTCATACCTAAAAGATTGACTGTCCATAACAAAAGGAATATAGTCGTCGTCAAAATTTCAACCAGCCACACTGTGTATTCTATTTATTTAGGGCCAAAATAAAAAATAGGTTTGTTTCCCCTAACGCGACTGACCCACTTAAATCGTGCCGACTGAAAAGTTTTTTTTAATAAGATTATTCAAATATTTATTTTTATTGTTTATCAACTTTATGAAATACAATTTCATCAAAATTCGTTTTTTATCAGAATGGCGGCTTTTGTTTTACTCTCATTTGGCACCCACAACATGTGGCCACAGAGAGTTATTTAGTGTTATAAAACAACGGCGATGTATCAATCTTAATATACATCTGTCACTTATAAGAATCCTACACTCTTGAAACATTTCGTGAATTAAATATACCATGACTAAGGAGTGTTAAGATGGTATTTCCAAATGTGTCTTCTAAAATTAATGTACATAGTAAGCATGACAAAGCCTGCCTCAGGAGCAGATGAGGGGCCCACTTTGTGTATGCATATCAATAAATTTCGCTGCATTTCATTCGTTTTGATCTAAAAAAACACTTCATGTATGATTCTATTTTTACTATATAGGACCATAGGATTTGTAAATATATCTTTGTATAATTATTTCATCTTGATAAATATAATTCGGATGTCGTTTCTTCATTCCTTTTATTTATGGGGTAAACTTCGTGACTATAACATTAGATATATGAAACTTTAATCATTTTAGATATGGTTTGATTGAATTAAATATTGTTTATACAGGTACTCTCTTTTCAAATAGTGTTGAAATCTTTTAAGTTGGCGTATGGTACGGCTTCCTGAGACGTCTAGTGTATTTTTCTTTTCTTTAGTTGGGCCCTTGAAAATAGGTTGTTTCTTTGCTTTAAAATACCTTTAAAAATTGCTGGGTCAATAAACATTTGAACACCTGCCTGGTGGAGGGCTCCTAATTTAGACTTTTTCTCGGCACTTATGGCCATTGGTC